GGGTTTTCTCGAAAATCGACCTCCGAGGGGGTTACCGCCAGATTTGCCCTAAGACCGCATTCCGCACACGCTACGGATCCTTCGAATACACCGTCATGCCTTTCGGAATGACCAACGCCCCCGCCACCTTTCAAATGACCATGAACGAGGCTTTCCGCCCGCTCTTAGATAAGTGCGTCATAGTATACCTGGACGACATACTGATTTACAGCCCTGACAGAGCACAGCACTTACAGGACATCGAAGCAGTTTTTAAAATACTGAGTGAAAACTGCCTACTGACAAAAGCATCCAAGTGTGAGTTTTTACAGGACCGCCTGGAATTTTTGGGCCACGTTATTTCAGCTGGAGGAGTGGAAATAGACCCGAAGAAAATTGCGACGATTCAAGCATGGCACGCGCCGACCAACTTGACCGAGCTGCAAATTTTTTTGGGGTTCGTCAACTACGTGCGCCGGTTCGTCCCCGACATGGCAAAGCTGACTGCCCCGTTGACCGACCTGCTGAGGAAGGGGGTTGAGTACACGTGGGGGGAGAAAGAGCAAGCTGCCTTCTCGGCCCTCAAAAACATTTTGTGCTCACCGCCCGTGCTTCACATCGCCGATCCACACCGTCCGTTCGAGCTCGTCACTTACGCAAGTGACATCGCTGTGGGAGCAGTACTGTTGCAGGATTTCGGGAACGGCCTCCAGCCAATCGCGTACGAGTCCCGCAAGCTGCACCCGCCCGAACGCAACTACCCGATACACGACCGCGAAATGTTGGCGATCGTGCACGGGTTCAAGGTTTGGCGGTGTTACCTGACTGGCGCCGACGTGACAGTACGGACAGATCACCGATCACTACAGTACTTACGCGCCCAACCGAATCTCAATCCACGACAGATTCGCTGGTTGGACTACCTCGAGTCCAACTTCCATTACACGGTTACGTACAAGAAAGGCGCATCCAACATCGCCGACGCACTCACCCGCCCTACCGCCCAACTCCACGCCATCCTACTCGCCCAGACCAACCCGCTTTTAACAGGCCTATTCACCCACGGATACCGCACCGACCCATTTTTCACGACTGGAAATTCACAGCAATTGGCAGAAGCTAAAGGAGTTTATTACGTAAAAACAGGCACCAACCGCATCTGGGTACCCACGTACTCACTAATGAGGGAGCTGCTACTGCAGGAGGCAGACGACGGAATTACCTCGGGACATTTTGGGGTAGAAAAAACGCGACAGCAACTGTAGCAGTATTACTACTGGCCGGAGCTGTTGATCGACGTGCAGTAGCACGTGGGCTCGTGCCCCACGTGTCAGGTGATGAAGAGCTCAAGGAAGCGGAAGGCGGGTCAATTGCAGCCGATACCACCGCCCGAGCGCGCCTGGCAGCAGGTTACCATGGACTTCGTCACACGGTTACCTTCGAACCCTGGGGGTAACGACGCGGTGATGGTCGTCGTTGACAGGTCGACGAAGATGGCACACTTCGCTGCGTGCAAAAAGTCGATCTCAGCCGAGGAGACCGCTCGTCTGTTCATCGCAGCCGTTGTTCGCCTGCACGGGATACCAGCAGCGATTATCAGCGACAGGGACACGAAGTTTACCAGCAACTTCTGGAAAAATCTCTGGGAGCAGTTCGGGACCAGGCTACAGTTCAGTTCGTCGTACCACCCCGAGACCGACGGTCAACCGGAGCGGACGAATCAGACGATGGAGCAGTTGATTCGTGCCACGTGCAACGACCCCACGACTTGGGAGCAGCAGCTGTCGCTGATCGAGTTCGCGTACAACAATGCCACGTCAGCGACGACGCAGCAGTCCCCCTTCTACCTGAACTACGGGCAAAACCCTACAGTGCCCATGATGCCGAGTCCGGACAACCCAACACCACGTGCATAGCAATTCGCCGAAATTCTGCAAGCTGCCCGCACCAGAGCCGCAGAAGCAATTAAAAAAGCGAACGTCATCGCTAAGCGCAACGCTGACCGCCACCGCCGCCCAGTCACATACCAGTCAGGGGTTTACGTACTGCTCGACACGCAAAATCTGCGACTGCCCGACGTACCAAAACTTCGACCGCGCTACTGTGGCCCATTCCAAATCAGCCACATGATCACGCCAGTAACCGCGCACCTACTGTTACCGACCGACTGGTACATCAGCCTTTCGTTCCACATCAGCTTGCTTCGCCCATACATCCCAACCACAAGCCAACTGCCTCGCCACCGCCCGCCATCCATGAGTCGCCCTGCATCGGAGCCGATCGTCGAGCCCGAAAAAATCCTGAGCCATCGGATTCGACACCCTACGTGAATCAAGAGGATTGAATTCCTCGTTCGCTGGAAGGATCGCACGCCAACTGAGGATAGCTGGGTGCCCCTAGCCAGCATCGAAAACCACCCTGCCCTGCAAGTGTATCCGAGGAGCCGGGGATTCCGCGATATACACGCACTCGCGTAGCGGAGGGGGCTTCTTGAGGGGGGGGGTAGTGTAAGGAATTTTCTCGGCATTCCTTACGGAGCCCGACTACATCACGTACAGCAACAGCCGTTGTTCGCCCATTACTGCTAACGGGGCTTCGCCGACTTCGCGCGCACTGTTTCACCAAACCTCGCACTGCTAACCTGGCCGTGTCGACCTACGCTTCGGGACTAACCCGAGCCTCGCTCCAGCGTAGCACTAGCTAGCTAGCACGCACCACGTTTCCGTTTCCATGTTCGCATATGAATGTTCGCTCATGCCTTCGCTCACATTTTGTACTCGTTTGGCAGCTTAGTGCAATTCTCGCTACTTCGATTCATTGCACCCGTAATTGTATGACTTGTTGAAATTAGGAGGTCGCTAGAGTAGCGGAAATACTCTAGGAAATAACGACGTCCCAGCGGCGGGGCTATGGTCACTCAGAGGTAGCTCTCCTGGCTTGTAACTTGGCGCCAAAGCGGCGGCCGAGGGTAGGCCGGACACAAGCTTGAGAATTGTGTAATGATAGCATGGCAGTACATTGAGTTATATAGGAAACATAGCAGGGAGGCAGTTACCAAGGCGCAACTGTATTACAGTTGCGCTGTAACGTTTCAGTTGCCCAGTTACTGGCGAGACCTTTCAGCTTCGGCAAGGGCGCGGTATTCTGCCGCGCCTCCAGGGTGGTTTCGCGTACTGTAGACGCTGCCTCTTGCTCAATTCGACCCTTCGGCTGCCACGCGGGTCGCAACCACTGTACGCGGTTGCGCCCCTGCAGTTCGATACTCGGGTCAACATCCTCGATATTGAGGGCTTCGCTTCTGCACTTAGAACAGTGCACTGAAAGATAAATAACACACAAATATATTTCCAACACTCCCCTCCACTGTTAGAAGTGTAGAATCCAAGAGAGATGAAATTCTCCATGTTGAAATTCTGAAGTCCTCGTCAGGGACTTCACCGGTACGCCTTGAAATGCGTCTTGCCAAGTCGCCCAAAATTATGCGACGGCGCGTTGAAGATTTCCTCCACGAAATTCTCCGTGGGTAGTGGCAGGTTCTGACCTGCTCCAGGAGATGCTCCTGGTGATGATAAAGGTGGTGAGCCAAACTGAATGAAGCTGCTCCCACAGGTCCAAGTGTTTGAACGCTTGCTCGTGATACCATGTTGAAATTAGGAGGTCGCTAGAGTAGCGGAAATACTCTAGGAAATAACGACGTCCCAGCGGCGGGGCTATGGTCACTCAGAGGTAGCTCTCCTGGCTTGTAACTTGGCGCCAAAGCGGCGGCCGAGGGTAGGCCGGACACAAGCTTGAGAGATGTGTAATGATAGCATGGCAGTACATTGAGTTATATAGGAAACATAGCAGGGAGGCAGTTACCAAGGCGCAACTGTATTACAGTTGCGCTGTAACGTTTCAGTTGCCCAGTTACTGGCGAGACCTTTCAGCTTCGGCAAGGGCGCGGTATTCTGCCGCGCCTCCAGGGTGGTTTCGCGTACTGTAGACGCTGCCTCTTGCTCAATTCGACCCTTCGGCTGCCACGCGGGTCGCAACCACTGTACGCGGTTGCGCCCCTGCAGTTCGATACTCGGGTCAACATCCTCGATATTGAGGGCTTCGCTTCTGCACTTAGAACAGTGCACTGAAAGATAAATAACACACAAATATATTTCCAACATGACTCAAGTTCGACACTTGAAGTAGGCAAATCTGAACGAGGTAGCATTTTCCGCGAGTAATCTTACCATACCTAGTTAGATATAACTTAATATCATCAGTGTTACTACACCACATAACTCTGAAATATCAGTGTGGTATAACCAAACACTTTTTCTTGTAAGGGTTAAAATGTTGACCACTCTGATAAAAAAGGGTGCATCGTCAAACCCAGCCTTTTAGTAAGGGTCATAAGGGTGAATCACCCTGTTAACCAGAGGCCTGGGAGTACGGTAGTTGTAGAGAAGCAATGGAGGTGCGAACTTCTAGGGGACTCGCTGTGCAGTTCAAGTGATAGTCTTTTAGGGGACGCTGATTGCAATTCAATACCATACCCTTTCATGTGCACTCCCTCTACGAGTAAAACCAAAAAGTTCTCAGCCAAACTAGACATGCCTGTCACATAAAGCCAACCAAAAAGTTCATTCATTCTTTAGTCAAACGAATTTGCAATACCGTAAGTGAGGTCACTTCATTGCATGAAATCTGCACACAAGGAATTGCAGAATCGGGTCCCGAGTCATGCGCGGAATCAGCAGCTTGAGAAAGGACTCCTGTGCGGGAAAGGTGCGAGAACCTTGTCTCCTGGATGGAACTTGTAAACGTGACACAGGACTCCTTCTGAGTCAGGTCAGGATTTACGAAGATGTACACGCGGCTTTGAGGAACGTGCAGGAATCTCCTCCCAAAACAGCTCCATCGTGTTCCCTGGAAAGAACTACACAATGAATCCGTTCCTTTCTTCCAACTCGGCTCAAGAGCTACGGAGAGCTACGACAAGGCGGCTTGAGGAAGGAGTCCTGTGCGGGCATCTCCTCTCAACAGAGCTACGAGGAGGCGGGAACGAGCGGCTTGAGGAAGGACTCCTGTGCGGGCATCTCATCCCAAAAGAGCTCCAGCTTGTCTCCTGGGTGGAACTTCTTGGTGGCTCCCTCCTTGTCAATCTGTGGGGGGTGGGAAAAAACAACACAAGTCGTGTGGGACCAGGTGTGCCCTGGCTTCGGTGCATTGGTGGCGAAAGGATTAACATGAGCACTTGAGAAACGAAACCGGAAACGAGTGTGGGAAGGGGGGGATGAGGGGGGAACAGGGAGAAACTGCACCGTGCACATAGGCCAGGGCAGTAAACTGGGATTGTGGAGGACAGCAGAGAGAAAGCACTCAGGAGTGCAGGTTTTGTCACAAAGCAGCATCCAAAGAGCGGCATGACATGCAAATAGAGACGATTGAGCAACGTGGCAGTTTCGAAGAAAAGCAGCACTACTGAGGTAAGGTGCAAGAGACCCACCGTGACGGTGCGCACGCATCCCCCACTTGCCCCGTCGCGAGCCATGGCGAGAGACACCGCCTTCACTACATAGGCCTGGCATGGACGGACACACATGCACAGGGCAAATGAGATCAATTGAGGCACTAAGCACAGGGCACAGGTCAGAGGGCACAGGGCACAGGGCACAGGGCACAGGGCACAGGGCACAGGGCACAGGGCACAGGGCACAGGGCACAGGGCACAGGATACAGGGCACAGGGCACAGGGCACAGGGCACAGGGCACAGGGCACAGGGCACAGGGCACAGGGCACAGGGCACAGGGCACAGGGCACAGGGCACAGGGCACAGGGCACAGGGCACAGGGCACAGGGCACAGGGCACAGGGCACAGGGCACAGGGCACAGGGCACAGGGCACAGGGCACAGGGCACAGGAGCACACATACCCCACTCGCCCCATTGTGAGGCACAGAGCTCAGAGCACAGAATACGTGACTTGCAAGGTATAGAGAGAATACAGCACATGCACAGAGAGAACACAGCATATTCACAGAGAGAACACAGCATATGCACAGAGAGAACACAGCATATGCACAGAAAGAATTCAGCATATGCACAGAAAGAATGCAGCGTATGCACAGAGAGATTACAGCACATCATATGCACAGATACTTTCAAGCTTTATGCCTGAACACATCTCCTTTATGAGCCCCCTTTCCTGTATCCTAGACCTTGACCGCTTACCTCACCCTGCTCTTTACTCATCCCTCTTCAACACTCACCTCCGCCACCCTTGCCCTCCTTCAAGTGCATGTCACAGAAGTTGTAAATGGACGACACGTGTGCTGATCTTCCATATTCTCTACATCAAAACCAAAGCTCACCTCCGCTTCCTCCTTGCTCATGCCCTCCTTGAAGGCAGAGAGGTATGAGGAGCCCGACCCTCCAATGTGCTTGATGAAATACAGGTGCGCTGAAAGTGCCTTACAACATCAGGAAGTCTCACCTCGGCTTCCTCCTTGCTCATGCCCTCCTTGAAGGTCGCATCACAGAAGGCAAAGAGGTACGAGGAGCCGGACCCTCCGATGGCGAAGGGCGCCTTGAGCAGCGTGCCTCCCTGCGGCAGCGCGTACACCGATGCACCGTCGTACTGGTCCCACCCGCCCACTATCATGCCCGCTGATAGCATGTTCTGCGGGATAAGGAAGGGTGAGGGCGCAGGGAAAGCGAGAGGTGCAGGGGGGATTGGGGGGCAGGGGGGATGAGGGAGGGATGAGGTGGACGGAGCAGTGCGTACAACAACGCCCCATCGTACTGGTCCCACCCGCCCACTATCATGCCCGCTGATAGCATGTTCTTCTGGTGGGTAGAAATGAGGGTGCAGGGGGTACGAGGGTGAAGGGGTATCAGGGAGCAGGAGTGATGAGGGGGAAGAGGACGAAGCAGCGCGTACACTGATCCCCCGTCGTACTGGTCCCACCTGCCCACTATCATGCCCGCTGATAGCATGTTCAGCGAAACACGCAAGGAGATAGAGCAAGAACAAGGGAGGATGAGGGACGGATGAGGATAGCATGTTCTATTCCGACATAAAACAAGGGTCCCCGCCCACAACTATGGCTAACAACGCCACACGAAGGATCAGGGAGGACAAAACATGGGCAATGCAAGGCGCACACAACAAGGGATGAGGACGCGGGCAGCAGGGAAGATGCGCCACCAAGACACACACAGTAAGACATGGAAACGACCATGCCATGTCAGGATCATGCCTGCTGTCAACATGTCAGGATCATGCCTGCTGTCAACATGTCAGGATCACGCCTGCTGTCAACATGTCAGGATCACGCCTGCTGTCAACATGTCAGGATCATGCCTGCTGTCAACATGTCAGGATCACGCCTGCTGTCAACATGTCAGGATCATGCCTGCTGTCAACATGTCAGGATCATGCCTGCTGTCAACATGTCAGGATCATGCCTGCTGTCAACATGTCAGGATCATGCCTGCTGTCAACATGTCAGGATCATGCCTGCTGTCAACATGTCAGGATCACGCCTGCTGTCAACATGTCAGGATCACGCCTGCTGTCAACATGTCAGGATCATGCCTGCTGTCAACATGTCAGGATCATGCCTGCTGTCAACATGTCAGGATCATGCCTGCTGTCAACATGTCAGGATCATGCCTGCTGTCAACATGTCAGGATCATGCCTGCTGTCAACATGTCAGGATCACGCCTGCTGTCAACATGTCAGGATCATGCCTGCTGTCAACATGTCAGGATCATGCCTGCTGTCAACATGTCAGGATCATGCCTGCTGTCAACATGTCAGGATCATGCCTGCTGTCAACATGTCAGGATCATGCCTGCTGTCAACATGTCAGGATCATGCCTGCTGTCAACATGTCAGGATCATGCCTGCTGTCAACATGTCAGGATCACGCCTGCTGTCAACATGTCAGGATCATGCCTGCTGTCAACATGTCAGGATCATGCCTGCTGTCTACATGTCAGGATCATGCCTGCTGTCAACATGTCAGGATCATGCCTGCTGTCAACATGTCAGGATCATGCCTGCTGTCAACATGTCAGGATCATGCCTGCTGTCAACATGTCAGGATCATGCCTGCTGTCAACATGTCAGGATCACGCCTGCTGTCAACATGTCAGGATCATGCCTGCTGTCAACATGTCAGGATCATGCCTGCTGTCAACATGTCAGGATCATGCCTGCTGTCAACATGTCAGGATCATGCCTGCTGTCAACATGTCAGGATCATGCCTGCTGTCAACATGTCAGGATCATGCCTGCTGTCAACATGTCAGGATCATGCCTGCTGTCAACACGTCAGGATCATGCCTGCTGTCAACATGTCAGGATCATGCCTGCTGTCAACACGTCAGGATCATGCCTGCTGTCAACATGTCAGGATCATGCCTGCTGTCAACATGTCAGGATCATGCCTGCTGTCAACATGTCAGGATCATGCCTGCTGTCAACACGTAAGGTTCATGCCTGCTGTCAACACGTCAGGATCATGCCTGCTGTAAACATGTCAGGATCATGCCTGCTGTCAACATGTCAGGATCATGCCTGCTGTCTACATGTCAGGATCATGCCTGCTGTCAACATGTCAGGATCATGCCTGCTGTCAACATGTCAGGATCATGCCTGCTGTCAACATGTCAGGATCATGCCTGCTGTCAACATGTCAGGATCATGCCTGCTGTCAACATGTCAGGATCACGCCTGCTGTCAACATGTCAGGATCATGCCTGCTGTCAACATGTCAGGATCATGCCTGCTGTCAACATGTCAGGATCACGCCTGCTGTCAACATGTCAGGATCATGCCTGCTGTCAACATGTCAGGATCACGCCTGCTGTCAACATGTCAGGATCATGCCTGCTGTCAACATGTCAGGATCATGCCTGCTGTCAACATGTCAGGATCATGCCTGCTGTCAACATGTCAGGATCATGCCTGCTGTCAACATGTCAGGATCATGCCTGCTGTCAACATGTCAGGATCATGCCTGCTGTCAACATGTCAGGATCATGCCTGCTGTCAACATGTCAGGATCATGCCTGCTGTCAACACGTCAGGATCATGCCTGCTGTCAACACGTCAGGATCATGCCTGCTGTAAACATGTCAGGATCATGCCTGCTGTCAACACGTCAGGATCATGCCTGCTGTCAACATGTCAGGATCATGCCTGCTGTCAACATGTCAGGATCACGCCTGCTGTCAACATGTCAGGATCATGCCTGCTGTCAACATGTCAGGATCATGCCTGCTGTCAACATGTCAGGATCATGCCTGCTGTCAACATGCGATGTTGCACAACGCGGAAATGGAATTGCGAGCCAGTCGAAAAAACGTGGGAAACGTGGGATATGCTTTGAAAGGGAAGAGGAAACGTGGGATGGAAGAGGGGGAGGCGGGGGGGGGGGTGGCGGTGGGATGTCCAGGAAAATAGTGTTTGAAATAACACATGGTGGCTAATAGGTTGTGGACAAGAATGGAGTCACCTTGTTGTGGTAGCTGATTTGCTTGACCACATTAGCCACCGTCTTCACATCTGTAGGCTTGCCCAGCTCCATCCTGATGCCATGCCATGCCATGGCATGCCACGCCACACCACGGGATTGGAGACAGAAGGCTTGATGTGAGATGGTGTGATACTATGCGATGATCTAATGGGATGTGATGTGATGTGATGTGATGTGATGTGATGTGATGTGATGTGATGTGATGTGATGTGATGTGATGTGATGTGACACGATGTGATGTGACACGATGTGTGCATATTCAACCATAAGACATGCACAAACAACCAATTCACAACATGTGCATAAAGATATCGAAGGGTCGCTGATAGCATGCATAGACTAGATAGAACCGGAGAGCAACGTCCTGCAACCTTTTGATTGAATGTGAACTCATTGCTGCTACCCAAATCCTGAAAAAAAAAAGTTTCAGTCCGAGATCACTCACTATGCTGACTGGCAAGGTAGTTGTGTGCAAAGGTGGACACCGCTACCTGCACTCCTTGCTGCATTCACTGCTGCTGCGAGAGGTAGTGTTGTGCATACGTGGACACTGTCTGGGTGTCTTTGTTTCTATCCCTCTCCGTGCTGCTCTCAGCACTCACATGAGTAAGCTCTGCACTCACTGGTGTTGTGAGAGGTAGTACTGTGCATACGTGGACACTGTCTGGGTGTCCGCAGCCTGCAGAGAAAAAGATGGTTGCAGCCAGATGTTAGGAAAGTGAGTATTGCTAACAAGGTTGACAGCAAGAGCAGATATTATTAAGTTGATAATCAGGCAAATAGGCTGACATTCGGGCAAACGGGTTGACATTCAGGCAAACAGGTTGACATTCAGGCGAACAGGCTGACATTCAGGCAAACAAGCTGACATTCAGGTAAACAGGTTGACATTCAGGCAAACAGTCTGAGATATAGGCAAAAAGGCCAACATTCAGGCAAACAGGCTGACATTCAGGCAAACAAACTGACATCCAGGCAAACAGGCTGACATTCAGGCAAACAGGTTGACATTTAGGCAAACAGGCTGACATTCAGGCAAACAGGCTGACATTCAGGCAAACCGGTTGACATTCAGGCAAACAGGCTGACATTCAGGCGAACAGGCTGACATTCAGGCAAAGAGGTTGACATTCAGGCAATCAGGCAGACATTCAGGCAAACAGGCTGACGTTCAGGCAAAGAGGCTGGCATTCAGGCAAACAGGCTGGCACTTAGGCAAAGGGGCGACATTCAGGCAAACAGGCGGACGTTCAGGCAAACAGGCTGGCACTTAGGCAAAGGGGCGACATTCAGGCAAACAGGCGGACGTTCAGGCAAACAGGCTGACGTTCAGGCAAACAGGTTGACATTCAGGCAAACAGGTTAACATTCAGGCATACAGGTTGACATTCATGCAAACAAGCTGACATTCAGGCAAACAGGCTGACATTCAAGCAAACAAGTTGACATTCAGGCAAACAGGCTACAATTCAGGCAAACAGGCTGACATTCAGGCAAGCAGGCTGACATTCAGGCAAACAGGCTGACATTCCAGCAACTGACCTTCAGGCAAACCGGTTGACATTCAGGCAAACAGGCTGACATTCAGGCAAACAGGCTGACATTCAGGCAAACAGGCTGGCATTCAGGCAATCAGGCTGACATTCAGGCAATCAGGCTGGCGTTCAGGCAAACAGGCTGACATTCAGGCAGCAAACATCTAGGTTGACAATGAAACAAACATCCAGGTTGACAATCAAGCAAACATCCAGGTTGAGAATCAGGCAAACATCTAGGTTGAAAATCAGGCAAATATCCAGGTTGAGAATCAGGCAAACATCCAGGTTGAGAATCAGGCAAACATCTAGGTTGAAAATCAGGCAAACATCCAGGTTGACGATTAGGCGGACATCTCTAATCACATTACCTTTCATTGTAAAAAAGCAAAAATCCCTTAAACAGCAGCAATCCAATCACTCACAGAGCCTGATCGGCAGAGGTAGGCGAAGTCTGTGAGAGCAGTGATCTTCTCAGACGCTCTGTTGCTGATGTACGTTCCTGGCGATGGCGCAGGAGAAAGACACGGGAGATCATGGAAGAGGAGGGAGTGAGAGGGCCATCAGAAAGCACGGACAGCAGTGATCTTCTCACACGCTCTGTTGCTGATGTACGTTCCTGGCGACGCAGCAGGCGACGCCACGTGTGAAGGCACGGGAGAAGGGAAGGAAATCGCAGGAGAGCAGAAAATGAGAAGGCCAGAGAGGGACAGATGGAAGGAAACGTGACACGAGGAGAGAACGAAAGAACGAAACGAAGGAACGGACGAACGGACAAACCGACTAAGGAACGATCGACGAGCGACGGAACCGTCTCAACTTGAATCGAGAATTGATGTTGTTCTCTGAAATGATTCAATATTACCTGTGGTAACCCGAGTATCAGCTCCAAGCACGACCCCCCCATCGTATGCCACTGCCATGATGGTCGTCTGCGGGAGAAGCAAGGGAAGCATTCGAATCAAGCACAACAGATGATGCGACGCTGCTAGATTTGAGCCAAACAATTGTTGCGTCCAGACAATTGAACCAGGCGAAGGTGAAAGCAAGAAAATGAGACTGCGATAATCCCAAGGAAAGCGCAGTTGCGACAATCCCAAATGGTGAAAGCAAGGCCTAGAGGGAGACCTGAAACCATAAGAGTTTTTTGGAATCTCTACAGAAAGTCATGAATCTGGCCACTCTTGAGTCATTCAGCATGTAATAACCACAAGGATGATATGATTCTCCTGAATCCAGATAAACTAGCAACAGTTCCAAAGCTGGCATCGTCTGCTGACACGAAGTGACTTTAGAGTCGAATATTGTAAGCGTAATGTCCGCGTTCAATCGCTTTTCGGAAACGCCAAGCACAGACGGCGCCGCACAGAGGAGCCGCTGAGCAACTGAAACCATATCCGAAGCGCCTCACACGTACGCTAGCTGCTGATGGGATCTGAATCAGGATCTATTGTTAATGTAAGTCACAGATAATCTGTCCCGGAACACCCACCCCGGTTGATACGGCTCCATACGAGCTCGCGCAATCCACCTCCATGACGCCGTGACACTTCGTCGACCAACCTGGATCGAATCGAGCAGAACAGAGACAACTAAGTCTACCGTCTGGAACTACTGTGCGTAGCTCGAATCGCGGTAACGAGCAACGAGGGAGCGATTAGGAACCAGCTATTGTGGCGGTGATGTGATCTGCGAAGTGCGTGAGAATGTAGTCAGCGATGTAGAAGTGGAGGACAAATGCTTCACATTCCGGTGGAAAGCGGTCAGGCTCCGAAACCGTTTTCGACCGCGAAGGTGACCTACCGAACCACGGTAAACACAAGCAGAACAGAGCTGAGGAATTAATAGGGTGGGAGATGCCGTTCATTTTAGTGTTTCCGGCCTGGTGCTTCTGATAGTTTTATATTTTTCCATTCCAGAACAGTTGAGCAACCATTCAGCTTGCAAACGTCTTCAGCGTTTGTGACCAATTTTGTTCAGCTTTTGTGGACCACGAAATTAATGCAAATTCAAATACAGTACACACTTTCAGGCTGGCAGTGTGGGCAATCTCAGTGCTAACTAAATGGAGTGCTGGGACTCCTTGAGGGTGCCTGAAATGCTTCAGTGCTTGATAGAGCGCTTATACTCCTTGAAGGTGCCGGAGAAGGGCTTGGCCACTCCCTTGTCCACCGCCCACAGCTGGTCCACACTGCCACTGATCAGATGCTCATCGTGACTCACCTGTGGGAGAAAAGGGAGAAGGATTGGGGATGAAGGTGGGGTGTGGGGGGGAAGGGAGTGCTGCATTCAGACGAGCTCTGCTGCCCCACACTGTCACCAATCAGATGCTCGATGCTCCTCATGTCTCGCACGCAAACAAAGGGGGTGCTGGGGGGAGCGGCGGGAGGAGTGTTAAGAAGCAGATGGGGGAAAGAGATTAATGGGTGAGGGGATGAGAGATCAGGCAGGGCTGCAGGACAGTAAAACGATCAGACAGTGAACCTGGGGGCGGTAAGAAGCAGGCACAACAGCCAGCCACCGGAAGCATGCGAGCGGACTCATGTGAGAGGTCCCAGCCAGCCACATGTCGTGACAGCGCGGCAGCCACCGGACGCATGCCATGACATGGCATGCGTGTGCCAGGCCACCCTGCACCACGTCCTGCTTCACCACCATTGCATGCTCATCTCCCGACTACCTCACACCCATACGTGCCCAACAAAGCCACCCATGCCAGATACGCCTTGCACGCACCCATGCCCGACAAGGCTCACCATGAGAACACCGCCTTGGAAGAGAGCAAGGCCCTGAATCAACGCCTCCACTGCATCGATGTCCTGATGGTGGGGACAGGAAGGGGGGGAATGAGTCGAGAGGTAGAGAGGGAAGAAAGGGGATGAGTACCGTTACGGAAGCAGAGCAGAGAGCAAGGCCCTGAATCAACGCCTCCACTGCATCAATGTCCTGATGGGGAGGAGAGGAGGGAGGAAGGCACAAGGACGAGAGGAGCGAAATACGGGAAAAGTAAAAAAAGCAAGAGGGCAAAGGGAGAAGAGTGCAGGAGGAGAAACGAACAAGATGAGAAAAGAAAATGAGGAAATGAGTGCGCTGATGGCAACAGAGTTGGAGGCCCTGAATCAACGCCTCCAGAGCATCGGGCAACCGGAAAGCAAAGCGCAGGAGAGTCAACAAACAAGGAAGGCACAAAGGGCTGTCAGAAAACATGCAGGACGGCATGCTGGACGAGGTGCGTGTGAGGGTAAGGTGAGGTTACTGCGGTGAGACTGGTGCCAGATGGTTGGAGGGCGTACCAGATGGTTGGAGGGCGTATTAAATGGTTGGAGGGCGTACCAGATGGTTGGAGGGCGTATTAAATGGTTGGAGGGCGTACCAGATGGTTGGAGGGCGTACCAAATGGCTGGAGGGCGTACCAGATGGTTGGAGGGCGTACCAGATGGTTGGAGGGCGTACCAAATGGTTGGAGGGCGTACCAGATGGTTGGAGGGCGTACCAAATGGTTGGAGGGCGTACCAGATGGTTGGAGGGCGTACCAGATGGTTGGAGGGCGTACCAAATGGTTGGAGGGCGTACCAGATGGTTGGAGGGCTCATCGAGCAGCAGAATGTGCGGCTTGTGGAACGTGATCTTAGCGAATGACACTCTGCTCTTCTGCCCTCCTGTTATGTGCATGGGCAGCGAGGGTAGGCAGCAGGAAGACACGCAAACAACAATGGCGATGATCTAAACAGACTATGGTTGCTACTTACCTTCGGTGCTGATAACAAACTCAATTTTGAACTGACTCAAAAGTCGCCAACTACTTAGAGATACAAGCACAGCAACAGGGAAGGTGGGAGGAGCGCAGACCTGAGAGCGTGTACATGGGCTGCAGTGCCAGATTGCCTCCCAGGCCAAAGGAGCCCAGATGCGCCCTCAGCTTCTGCTCCGGTACTCCCTGAGAAAGGGAAGGTGCAGGAGAGGGAGGCATTGGTGGGGGAAGGTCGGGTTGGGAGGTGCATGGTGCGGTGGGAGGTGATGAGGAAGGGTCAGAGGGCCATGTATGCAGATGCGAATGGGTTTCACCGCGTGTCTGCATTGATGCATGAATGAGTTTACTCTGTGGCAAAGAATGTGATTAAAGGGAAGTGCTGGGCAGGGGTGGGTGAGGAAGGTGCGAGGACGAAGTGCATGAAAGGAAGGTACCAGGAAGGAGCGGGTGAGAGGAAGGTATCAGGGCAGGTGAGAGGAAGGTATCAAGAAAGATCGGGTGAAAAGTAGGCAAAATGACTGCTGCTTCACTTCAACTGAGCAAGAGAGACAACAACTAAAGGTGAAAAAAGATGCGCATGGGAAAGGTGCAGGTGAAGGGAAGGTACCGGGAAGGAGTGCGCCATGTAGAGCAGCGGCGACTTGGAGAGCTCTAGGCCGTCCACGTGGTGCTGCGCGAACACTGCCATGCGCACCTGGTGGTTGGAGAGGGGGTTGGGGGGTCATGGATGGGGCAGGAGGGAGATGCATGCACGCCATGTGACACGCGTTACATGCTTGCAAGCACGGAAGCTCCAGCCCGTCCATGTGGTGCTGCGCGAACACTGCCATGCGCACCTGGTGCATTGAAGGCATGGGGAAGACATGGGGGGTTGGGGAACACATGCATGCCATGCGACAGGATTATCTCTGTGTACAAGAGAGAGCTTGCGGCCGTCCACATGATGCTGTGCCAACACTGCCATGCGCACCTGGTGGTCGAATGGGGAGGGGATAACGGGCGTTGCATGGATGGTAGGGGGTGTGATGTGATGGGCATGACACTCTTGCTATGTGGCATGGCTAACATGCATGCTTGGTTGGAACGATGCATGAATGTCATGATGCCAACAGCATCAGGCTCAAACAGTCGAAATTGCCCACATGCTGCTGAGAAAACAACACTACCATGCACACCTGGTGCTCGCACACGAAATGTGGCGGGAGGGAGTGGGAGCATGAATAGGTGTCACGGATTATACGTACGTGCCGCGCTGCATGGGTTACATGGGTTACATGGGTGCACACCCCCAAGAAAAAGGCGTGCAGAATGGATTCTCGGACAGGGTTTGGGAGAAACTCGTACCTTGGGGGAGCGGAAGGCAGTCCCTGAGGTGGGTTTGAGCTCGCCTGATATGAGCTTGAGCAGCGTGGTCTTGCCTATGCCGTTGGGGCCCACGACTAGAGGGGGGAAGGGGAGGGTAGAGGGGGTAACATGGGGTGGGCGGGCATGAGAAAGAGCTTGAGCAGCGTGGTCTTGCCTATGCTGTTGGGGCCCACGACTGGATGGAACGAGGGAAGGGATGGGAGATGGGGGAGGATGGGTAGGATGGGGAAGGAAGCAACAAAATTGTGAGAATGACAGCAGTGAGGGTAAACAGGTGAGAGCACGTGTGCGCAGTGAGGTCTGCTCATGCCGTTAGGCCGACGACTGAAGGGGGCGACGAGCGAGGAAGGGACACACGAGCATACAAGAGAGGTCACATGGGAGCGTCGCAAGGTACGTGAGGCACGGCAAGGTACGTGAGGCACGGCAAGGTACGTGAGGCACGGCAAGGTACGTGAGGCACGGCAAGGTACGTGAGGCACGGCAAGGGGGAACATACTGGCGAGTCGGCTGTCGAGGTCGATGCCGAAATTGAGGTTCTTGAAGAGCAGCGGGCCACCAGGGTAGCCAAAGTTGACGTCGCTGCAGGCAGGCAGGGAACGATGTGGGAGGAGGAACGGGGGGGCGATGGGGGGTGAAGAAGAGGTAACCATTAGAGACACAACACAACGGCCATTCACCTTTACTGAAACGATGTCAGCATGCGAGCATGTGAGCGTGTAGATTGCGTGCATGTGAGAAATGAACAATTCGTCGGCTTTGTGACACAACTCGCGGCATTCCCAATTTAGTTCAGTGCACGCATGTGCCACGAACAGTGCCGTGGCATGGGTTTAGCCATGGGCACTGCGAGTGGCCCAGTGCCCCTCATGTGAAGCTGATAAGGGGCGGCACATGAACCGCCCTCAGCCTAGTGTTGAGTCGCCTCGATAATAGATCTATGCCACTCAAATGCAGCCAACACCCGGGTCACTCACGTGAAGCTGATGATGGGAGCCTGTGGCCGGTCCTCTGGCGTGGGGAACTCAAAGCGGTACCTGTGGAGAGAATAGGGTGGGGTGGGGTAAGGTGGAGCAGGGACGAGTGGGTGGGGTAGGGTGGGGAGGAGTGGGTAGGCTTCTAGCAACAACAGGCTCAAGGTGCTGAACTCCAGTCAGCAGGGTAAAACAATGGCAGCAGCAACAAGCAGTGCACGAGATGAGGTGTGTGCAATGTGTATAATATCTCTACTTGCAGATAGAGTACGGAGGTGGGATGGGGTGGAATGGTGGTGGTGTAACGACGGCATGGCGGCAAGTGTAGAGCAACACACGCGGGAGCTACGCCGCATTCAGCGAGAGCTGAGGCAGGTGTGCGCAGAGAATGCGGCGCCGCTGCTCAGAGTGGCGGTGGGGGACAATGAAGTCAATGAAGAGCTGGAAAGGGGCCTCGTCTCCACTCGACTGTCAGCCGCCGCCACTCTGAGCAGCAGCGCCGCATTCTCTGCCCGCGCCTGCCTCAGCTCACGCTGAACGTGGCGTAGCTCCCTCGTCTGCTGCTCTACACTTGTCGCCATGCCGTCGTTACCCGTGGTGGTGGTGCCGCCCCTACCTGCGCCACCACCAGCTCCACTCCACCACCACGTCCGCACACGGAGTGGGGCGGGTGGGTGGGGTGTGAGAAGACAGTTGGGCGGGTTTCCTAGCAACAGCAGGTTCACGGCGCTTGGCTCCAGCAGGGCTTCACAATGGCGGCAACAACCCGCCCCAAAGCACCCACTCACCCTACCCCCACTCACTGCCCGTTCACTCTCCACCCTCCACACCATGCACCCACTCTACCCCGCTCACTGCCCACCCCCCACTCCCAGCCCTCCACACCCCCCACCCACTCTGGCCCTACTCAATGCCCACCCCCCACTCACTCCCAAACCTCCACGCCCCCCACTCACTCGGGATCTGCCACCACAGAATCCACAGTGCCAATTCTCTCCAGCGCCTGCAATGCAGAGAGGGGGGGGGGAGTGAAGAGGAGAGCACAGAGGGGGAGAAGGGCGCAGTGTTGGGCAGGAAAGGGAAGGAGGGGCAAAGACGGGAGAAGTTCAGAGGAGGAGTAAGGCAGTTGAAGAAGCGCGCAGAGGGTGGGAGGAACGTAGTCGGGGAGGGGGTAAGGGCGAAGAAGGGGGAGGTTGCATGTGGAAAATTCACGGGAAAAGCACAAGGGAACGTGGAGGGGGAGAAGACACGATCGCAGTGGAAACGAGAGGAAGAGGAATCAGAGTGAGATACGTGGGTTGAAAAAGGAGGGGTTGCACGGGAGAAGTTACAAGGAAAAGGGCAAGGGAAAGGGCAAGGGAAAGGGCAAGGGAAAGGGCAAGGGAAAGGGCAAGGGAAAGGGCAAGGGAAAGGGCAAGGGAAAGGGGGCCGGGTGGGGAGGAGAGGAGGGGGGAGAGGAGAATACACGATGACAGTGGAATCGAGGAGAACTTGGAACAGAGTAAGGTGCGTGAGCGGCGAGAGTGAGTGGGGAAGAGAGCACATGGGCACGGGCGAAAGGAGGCACCTTGATTCGTGATTGCACAAGGGACGCGCGCTTGGCATTGTAACGGAACTTGTCAATGAAAGCCTGTGGCAGCAGATGCACACCCAGGGGTTGGGGCACAGGGAGGCAGGCACAGGGAGGCAGGCATGGGGAGGCAGGCATGGGGAGGCAGGCATGGGGAGGCAGGCATGGGGAGGCAGGCATGGGGAGGCAGGCATGGGGAGGCAGGCATGGGGAGGCAGGCATGGGGAGGCAGGCATGGGGAGGCAGGCATGGGGAGGCAGGCATGGGGAGGGAGACACGTGGAGGGACGCACACAGAGGGAGGGAGGCGTGGGGAGGGATGCACACAGGGGGAAGGCACAGGGAGGCAGAAACACACAATAGCGTTTTTATTATGTTCTATCCAACAAGGATGGCACGAGGGACGCGCGCTTGGCATTGGGGCGGAACTTGTGGATGAAGGCCTGTGGTGATGGGTGCACAGAGAGGGGGGGAGACAGAGAGGGAGGCACACAGAGGGGACACATACACAGAGGGGACGAGCGCATCCAAAAGGGATTGCATCCAAGGGGGATTGCACGCGAGGTGGATTGCACGCGAGGTGGATTGCATGCAAGGGATGACATGGTCCAGCACAGCATGGCCCCAGAATAGCAAGAGGCACACACCTGGATGTGGGCGCGCTTGGCATCATTGGCCTCGGCGGCCTTGTTCTGGTTGCGGATGCGCTCGTTTCGCGTCTTCTCAAACGTGTCGTAGTTGCCCTGTTGTGTGGGTGCCACGGGAAGGAACGCATCGCAGCATATGGGGGCGACAAAAAAAGAAAGCAACGAAACGCATGGGGGAGACAAGTGAGACTTCCCAAACGTGTCGTAGTGGCCCTGTTGGTGGTGGTGCCAGGCAGCAGGGCACACGGGGAGACAACACAATGTTTGGCAGAAGTGTAGGCAATAGGAGCACAACTGCATGGGAGTGACACGCGCGTCTTCTCAAACGCGTCGTAGTTGCCCTGTTGGTGGTGGTGCCAGGCAGCAGAGCAGAGGGGGAGACGTGCAATAGAAGAGGGAGTTAGTAGGAGCGCATCTGCCTGGGGGTGACAGGTGAATCTTCTCACACGTGTGCCCTAGATGCCAAGTTAGTGCATCAACGAGCGGAGGGAGGAATGCACGCAACGGCTTGATGCACAGCCGCCAAGACCACGCAAGCTGTGACACCAGTGTCTTGGGTTGGTGCACCAGAATACACAATGATTGTGCAGGTGAACAATGCCCGTGACAACAGTGTTGAGGAAAATCCACTGATATGGCACGCAACAGTGCTTCCCTCCCACCACTGCCCCTATGCGTCCTGAGCTTCTGGTTGCATGCCAGAGCAGCACGAGCCTTGTACGTGGTGAATTTCTTGTTGTGCAGGTGCACAATGTCTGTGACGGCTGTGTTGAGGACACCCCCCCCCCCCCAACCCCCTCTAGTATGGCTTTCAGCAGTGCTTTCCACGATGGAGCTTCACAACACCGACCTTGTGAGTATGTGACTGGCAGCACCCACCTTGTAGCATGTGAGCTTCTGGTTGTGCAGGTGAACAATGTCCGTGACAACTGTGTTAAGAAACTCTCGTGCGTGGGACACCCCAGAGCTCCCACCACTCCCCGTTGTGAGTGAGTGGCGACAAACACTGTGGTGTCCGAGCTGAGTGTGTGTGTGGCTTTACCGACCTTGTAGGTGGTGAGCTTCTGGTTGTGCAGGTGAACAATGTCCGTGACAACGGTGTTGAGGAACTCGCGCGCATGGGATACCACCACCAACGTCTTGGGCCACGTCAGCAGATGGTCCTCCAACCACAGCACTGCGTGCAGATCCAGATGGTTCTGGGGGGATGGGAGAAAAGAAACGGGGGTGACAAAGGAGGGAAGGCCAAGGAGAGAGGAAGAGAGAGTGACAGGCATGTCAGTGAGAGGCTGAGGCACGAAAGAAGATGGTCCTCCAGTCACAGCAGCGCGTGCAAGTCCAGATGGTTCTGGGGGCATACGGAGTAAAGGACGGGGTATAACAAGGAGGGAAGACCAGGAGAAGTCCACCACCTTGCTGCATCGGTCCCAACGCGTCGGGACAACCATTTTGCACCCAGAATGAACCCAGAAAGAACCAGCCCACCATGACTCGACAACACCTCCCTCCCCCACTGCACCCAACTGCTTCAACCACCGTGGGTCGTCCAGCAGCAGCAGGTCAGGCTGGACGAAGAGGGCAGCTTGGTTCATCAGTTGCCATGCACGCATGATGACTCCACAAAACCACCCCTCGCTGCACCCAAGTCCTCCTCCACTCACCGTGGGTTCATCCAGCAGCAGCAGGTGGGGCTGGATGAAGAGAGCACGGGCGAGCAAGACAATGCATGCATCATGACTCCACACTCGACACCACCCCCACTGCACCCAAGTGCGCCATACCACGGAACTCACCGTGGGTTCATCCAGCAGCAGCAGGTCGGGTTGGATGAAGAGAGCGAGGCGAGGGAGACAATGCATGCATGATGTTTCCATAACACCAACCCCATTGCACCCAAGTGCTCCACTCCACACCACTCACCGTGGGTTCATCCAGCAGCAGCAGGTCGGGTTGGATGAAGAGAGCGCGGGCGAGCGACACTCGCATGCGCCACCCTCCTGAAAAGGTCCGCGTGGCTCGGTTCTGCATGTCCTTGCTGAAGCTCAGACCCTGCCAAGGCAAGGAAGAGAGTGGGGGAGGAGGTTGTGGGCATGTGAGTGAGGACTCCGGTGGTTAAACGCAGGGCATTCTGCAAAACGAGGGAAATTTGCACCCTTTTGAGGCGCCTCAAAAGTTGCACCCTCTCCATGGCTCGGCTCTGCATCTCCTTGCTGAAGCTCAGACCCTGCCAGTGCATGAAGGGGCGGCGGGAAAGGACGAGCGCATGTGGAGATCTCAATGCTCAGTGCTGAGTCTCGAGCTGCTTCTGCATCGGTGCTCAGTGCTGAGTCTCGAGCTGCTTCTGCACCGGTGCTCAGAAAGAAGCAAAGAATTGCATTCGATGGGGTCTCCCTCCTGCGACCCCATCCGGGCACTCACAGCAAGGATCGGAAGCAGCCCTGATACATATCCTCCAACCTTACACCCTTATCAACCGCCTTGCTAACCGCTTCCACACCACACTCAATAACTCTCCTCTGCCCATACTGTCACTCACAGCAAGGATGGAAGCAGCTCGTGACTCAGCAGAGTACGCATCAATCTCTTCCAACCGCTTGTAAACCTCCGCCAACCGTTTCGCCGCCGCCTCATCCTCCCCTGCACCCGCCTCCGCCCCTCCCCCATCCCGCTTCTTCCCCTCCCCCTCCCCGGCCACCTCCCCATCCTCCCCGCCAGTTTTCCTCGCTAGAAGCTGCTTCTCTTCCTCTAGAAGTGCGGTGCGTTCAAGGTCAGCACTGAGCACGCACTGAAGGACGGAGGTATCGTCCCCCACCACTTCCTGCTCCACATGCAGCACCTGGCACGAGCGCGGAATGCCGTCGATCGCATGCATCGCCATGTGCTTTAACAGGGTGGTCTTTCCAGTCCCGTTGCGCCCAATCAGCCCTGCACGAACGGACAGGGAGACACAGATCAGGGGCAACAAAAAAAAAGTTGAATTTGAGGGCCAATGGACCGTCTCCTCCAAGTGGGATGGGAGCAGTGCGGGGATGTGTCGTCCCCCACCACTTCCTGCTCCACGTGCAGCACCTGGCACGAGCATGGGATGCCGTCGATCGCATGCATCGCCATGTGCTTCAGCAGGGTCGTCTTGCCCGTGCCATTGCGCCCGATCAGCCCTGCATGGATGGGTAGAGCAAGAGCAGAAAGGAGTCAAGACTCGGTAATGAGTGCGTGTTTGACTGACGCGCCTCAACCAGCCTCCCAACTCACCACCATTACCACCTGCTGGCTCCACATGCAGCATGTTGTCGTCACGTCCCACTTTTTCCATTGTGACTTCTTTCTCCCCTCTCCCTCTCTCACCCTCTCACCCTCTCACCCTCTCTCCCTCTCTCACCCTCTCAACCTCTCTCCCTCACCCCCTCTGTCGCTCTCCCCTTCTTCCCCTTTACCGCACCCCACCACTCCAAAACCCATCCGCACCGTATCGTCGCCCACGCAAGGGTAATAGACGCGTCGCTGATGAGGTCTTTCCCCGCCACAGTGATGGTGAAGTTGCTGAGATGGATGTCCCTCCGCCCACCTGTGCTTCCCCCTCTCTCCCTCTACCCCTCTCAACCTCTTCAACTCTACCCCAACCGCACTCCACCGTTCCAAACCTCACCGTATCGTCGCCCAAAAGCCAGAGTAATGGAGGCATCGCTGATAAGATCTTTCCCCGCCACGGTGACGGTGAAGTTGCTGAGATGGATGTCCCTCGCCCCGCCCTCCGTGCCATCGCCCCCGTGCGACACCGTCACCAGTGGCATGGACGACAGAATGGCCTCGCTCTCCTTCACGTGTGCTTCGTACGCGTCCTGGAGTGAGAGCACGGAGTGGAGGGAGAGGGGAAAAGGGAAGGCGTGGATAGAGAGAGCATATATTGCCACCGGTGGCAAGGACGCTAACGTAGCTCCGCTCTCCTGTACATGTGTTTCGTACGAGTCCTGGGGTGAGCGGAAGTGGGTGGGGGAGGGGGAAAGGAACGGGAGAGAGGGTAGGAGAAGTGAGAACGGGAAAGCGGCAGCATGAATGTCAGTAAATCGCACATGCACCTCGCCTAGCAAGCATGCAACCTGCAAAGGCGATGTGCCTGCTGCAAAAAAAAAGAATGAGCATATTACCAATCCGCGCGTGAGCAATTTCCCTTCTCCCAGCCCCAACCCTCCCCCACCACATTTTCCTCCACCGCCCTTCCTCCCCGTACCTGGAAACCCTGAAACCCACCATGCGCTGGCGCTCCTCCTTGCGCTTGTTGCGCTCCCCCACCCACCCTTTCCCCCAACCTGGAAACCCTGCGATCCGACGTACCATGCGCTGGCGCTCCTCCTTGCGCTTGTTCCGCTCGAGCTTGCGCAGATCGCGCTCCGTCACGAAATACATGGACTCTTCCTCCCCCTCCGCCGCCACCGCCTGAATCACCCCCGTCTTCCCCTCCCCCAGCATCGCCTGCTCCGCCATGCCCTCCCCCATGCGCATCGGCGCCCCCAGGCTCCGCACGTTCTCCGCCGAGGCTGCGGCATGCGCGTCGCCGAACCTGGCGGCTAGGGTTTGGAAGAAGGCGCGCGCGGAGGAAGCGTCCGGGAAGCAGCCGACGTTGAGGAGGAGCGGACCGACGGCGTCGTACGCGAGGTCGCCGCGCGGACCGAAGTCAAACGTCTCATCCTGGCGGGCGGGAAAGGGAGGGGACCAGGGGGGCGAGGGGGAGAGAGGGGGAAAAGAGTGGCGAGTAGATTCGGGACGTTATCACGTTTGAATTCTTTCGGAGCCGACGGCGTCGTACGCGAGTTTGCCCCGCGGGCCAAAATGAAACGTCGTGACCGGGGAACAGAGTAGATTCCGGACGTGGTTGAAAAGTATCGAGTCATTTCAAAACACGAAGTCAAACGTCCCGCCCTGGCGGGACGGGAGGAGGGGGGGTAGCGTACACTCGGGGCGTGGAGAAAGAACGGAATCGATCGCTCTTGTGGTTCGGAATCAGTTTCGCGGACCGAAGGCAGATCTTGTCTTCGTGAGAAGACGAACGATACGATATCAGAGGCCGGAAAACACTAGGGAAAGAGGTCAGGAAACATAACAAATACGGTCGCCAAGCCCAGCGAAATCGATAGGTCCGGTAAACTTGTCGGCTGCAGTAAATCCGTCAGGTTCAGTGAAGTCAAACGGTCCAGTGTCAAGTCATGAGAATCAGTGACGACGTCAGAATCGATAACGTTGACAAATTCAGTGAATTCGACCAGCGTCATTACGTTGACACCTCACGCTACGCAATCAACTGATTAACAGACTAAGGACGGCTTATGACAACGGACAGCTCTTTCAAGCTGATACTAAACCTCGGCTTTAAGGTCCGGAAAATTACGAATGTAAGCCTCTCATCGCTCACCTTTAGGACGTTAACGACATAGTCTATGATAATAGGGTCCACTTCGTTAGCAGTGGGACCAAGTCCCTGACGGATCGCCGTTGCAATTTCGGCCATGGCTGACTTCAAGTCCGCAAGGTGTGACTGGAAGGGATGATTCTCTTAAGAGAAAGGAAATATCGAGGCATATGCTCGAGAACACCGGTGTACTTGATATTGCATGCTCCGCGTCGTCGATTTCTCCTTTGTCAGATTTCGATCTATGAACACATCCCCGTAGTTTCATAATGCCACCAAAGGTACAATCATCCATGTACTTTAACGAGCATTTTTTTCAAATAAAAACTAGATTTTATAAAAAAATTAATCATATTATCAGAATTTGCAGTTATGACATTACTATATTTTCTCGATTTTAGTGGTACGAATTAATATCTTTCATTACCTCAGTAATTTCTGTAACACTCCTGGAATGTCTGTAACATCAGCCAGTCAGATTGCTCTAACGGGGCTCAAAATAACCGCTAAGGGCGACGCCAGGTTGTACAGCTTTTTGTACGCCCTCTCCGGTAAACTTTGTTTCAGCACGGTGAAGAGCGGTAATTGTCAAGAACCGCTTTTCACCGTGTTAGACCGTCCTGAACCACGATACAGGAACTGTAAGCGCGTGTGAAGTGTATAACCTGACGTCGCCCTAACTCCTCGCAACCCCAGCAACCTGCCAATTTGCTCGCTCATGGTCCACTCCCCCTTTCTCACCACTTACTTCATCAAGCTGTTTCAGCTTCGTATCGCTCGCTTCTCTGCCCACTTGGCAAGTCAAGGCCGTGCTGCTAGGGCAAGCAGCGTCAAGCAGTCTGCACTTCCTCGTCACACGCGCGAGGTTGCAGCCGCCTCGGCTGGTCACTCCGTACATGAACATGACGCAATGCAAGGTCAAGGCCAGGCTGCTGCACACTACCGTTCTATCATCCGCCTCCTCCACGCACTTGCGCGTCACGCCGGCATCGTTGACCTCACGAGCTATTCTTGCGTCGGAGCTTCGAAGAGCTCCAACCGTCCGTACGAGAAGTAGCTGGAACGATGTTGCGTTATTTCATAAGCGGGAATCTCGAGGTACTCGAAGTGACTCGCCCGAGGCCAGAAAGAGCTACAAGGTCGATTATCAGTAGCTGTTGACAGATGGCATCCCGCCAAATGGAGACTCGTTCCTTTTTGAGAATTCTCACAAATGAAGATCAGGCGCGTCATGGCGTACGGGGCCGTACGCGCTACAGTCCGATACGTTTCTCAATGTGGAACGGCTTCATGCTGATCTTGTTCCTGTCTTTGTTCTCGACGCGTGGCAATGCAAGCAGCACGCCCGGTTTTCCGGTCCTGAGCGGTGATTCTACCTTTTCCAATGATCATTTTTTGCGAGAAAGAATCAAGATTGGGTTTCCGACCCATGATCCTACAGCGCCCCTTGATCAGTTCTCGCGAGAAACTACTAAGGATGTCGCGGGCAAGAGGACAAGTGGTGGGTCGCTCGTGGTCAGACCACCCGACGTTCCCACGCCTGAAGGACGCAACGGCGGGAGTCGGCGAAAGCTACTGTCCGCCAGCGACTGGTTACCCGGAGCATCTCGGCGGAAACGAGGCGCTCATTTCGCATCAGCGGGTGATTTGCAAAGTGCGATCGACAGCAAGCGCCTCGAAGTTGTGGATCTCAACCCTAATCCGCCTCCGAGCGTTCTTTCGCGAAAGGGCCGGCGAAATCTGAGAGCTGTAACCAGCAGGCGAAAATATGCGACGTGCGCCAAGGCCCTCCGCTGCCCGGAATTTCGGATGTGCGAAGACGCGGGTTTCGAGGATATTTCCGTCTGCCATAACCCGGATTACAAGGACCTAGCCCCGCGAATCGCGGCGAACGGCACAACGCCTAAGCCCCGGGGAAACGACGAATATGGGGGAGTGGAAGAGGAGGAAGAAGACGAAGAGGAGGAGGAAGGGGGAGAAGACGGAGAAGGGGAGGAAGAGGAGGAAGGGGGAGGGGGGCGACGAGGGGACGGGGGGAAAGGGGGTGGTGCGCCCAGCATGGTGTGGTCTGGGCGGGTGTTTGCGCTGCACGACGTGTATGTGAACAACAAGGGGCAGGTGTTTAACTCCACGCACGTCTTTAACCCCAACGGCTGCTACGCTGAAGATAAGGTGCGCGTGGTGTGGGGGTGGAGGGAGGAGGGGGAGAGGGACGAAAGAGAGGGCGGTTGAGAGAAGAGGGAGGTGGGGTTGGGGGGCTGGAACGGGGAGGAGCGGGGCTGTTGGAAGGGGGAAAGTGGTAAGGCGGGGGAGGAGCTGGGAAGGAGAGGGTACCTCAGTAGCATTCCCTCTCTCCCCCCTTCCCCAGTTTCACTACTAGCCCGGTACGCGCGTCTCCTCGCACGACTCGCCAGTCAACCTGCTGGTCATCGAGAGCACCTCCGACGCCTCCAACTGCTCTTCCCTTCTCTCCCACCCCCCCCCCCCCCCCCCCCCCCCCTCTCCCACACTCTCTGCTACAGTTTCACTACGAGGCATGCACGCACGTCTCCTCGCACGACTTGCTGGTCAACCTGCTGGTCATTGGAGGCACGCATCTCCCATCTCGACAGATATTCTTGCCTTACGCCCCCTTCGTTTCCCCCCCTCTCTCCCCGTCCCCAGTTTCACTACGAGCCGGGCACGCGCGTGTCCTCGCACGACTCGCTGGTCAACCTGCTGGTCGTGGGGGCCACGCCCGGCGCCCGTCTGCCCTTCCACGAGATTCTCGAGCTCGTGCCGCTCTTCCTGCCGCTCTCCCACGTGCTCAAGAAGCACGGCAAGCCCGCCCTCGTCATGCGCGGCAAGAAGGTGTGTTGCGCTCTTCTAGCAAGAACAAAAGGTGTGTTGTGTTCTTGTCGCTCTCGCACATTGCAACACTGCATCTTGTGTGGCTCTGGCATGTGACGTGACATGTGCCGTGGCATCTGACGTGGCATGTGACGTGGCATGTGATGTGGCATGTGTGTGATGTTGTATCTCTCAGCTGCCTCGAGTGGTGGGCATCACCATGGGTCGCATGCTCTCCTTTGGCGATGCGTCTCGCCTCCTCTTCGTGCGAACGCTAATCCAGGTCCGTCCAAACACTCACCCTGGTGTGTCCGTCCCCACACTACGCTTCCAAGCACACGCCCACACGCCCTACTCACCCATCCACCCGTCCTGTCACCCTTCCTCCCTGTACTGCCAGTACCCCAGCCCCCCCCCTGATCCAAGCTCTGCTCCTCTCACTTCCTGCAACCCCCCGACCTGCCCTCTCTTTCCCCCCCTTCCCCCCCCTCCCAATAGCAGCCCACTTTCCAGCACTGCCAGCAACCCAGCCCCAGCATCTAAATGAGACATGTTTTCTTCCTTCCTCCGCTGGCCTCCCTCCCCAATGCAGCCAACCTTCCAGCACTGCCAGCAACCCAGCCCCTCTCTGTGGTCCAAACTGCGCACCTCCCACTTCCTGCAACCCTGGGGTCTGCCCCTCCTCAACCCTGACTGGTCCGAACGCCTTCCCCCCACCGCCCCCAAGGCCCTCTCTCCCCCTGCCGCCCTCCCCCCCTGGGAGACAAGTGGGGTGAAAGAGGTGATAGTTCTCGAGCCACCAGCAACAGTCCAGGTGAAGGGATTTGCAGAGATTGTAGCAGGGCTGAAGGGGAAGTTTGGCGCCGAGCATGTGAGGCTGGTGGGAAGGTTCCAAAGAGATGACGCCAAAGAGTTGTTTCCCCGGGCGGCGCTGCTCGTCAGCATCACGAGCCCGTTTCTCGTCAACCTCGCGTTCCTGCCGCCCCGCGCCGCCCTGCTGGAGCTCCGCCCGCCGCCCGCTGAGGTGGACGCGGTGATCGCTGACTCAGTCGCCAGGCTGGCAGCGGCTTGCCAGATCCATCACCGCGTAATTCGAGGAAGCTTCATGGAAGGAGCACCAACTGATGGTGTGGGGATATGGAAAGGGGCTGAGGAGGGTACGGGGAAGGGTGCGGTGGAGTGGAGGAGCGGGGCTGTAGAGGCAGCAGCGATGTTTTTGGCTCGAGTGGTCGGGAAAGCATTAACAGCCGATGAGAAAGTAGTGGAGGAGGCAGCTCTGACGGCTGCCGACCAGCGAATGAGGGCTGCACAGCTGGCGCAGGCCTCCACCAGTAAGAAGCCGCTGATTCCCGGTACGCAGATCCAATCTCCACAGTCCGCCGCCCAGTTTCGGCGCTGGCTGCGGTGCGTAAGTCAGCGGGGGCGGTGGGTGTACAACGCCACGCCGCGCATCCTCCCTTGGGAGTACCTCGGTACCATGAACCTGTGTGACCACCGGCATCGGGACACCACTGGAGGACTCGTGACAAAAAAAGCAGATAAGTATGCGGTGGAGGGCGGCGCGCCGGGCGGCTGGAGCGTGCGCGAGTCGCTCAAATACGAGTGGAGAACGCCTCCCGGGAAGTGCCCGATCGGGCCGCTGAGGCAGCTCGACAGGGATATGTTTTGCCGGAAAGTGAAGGGGAGGAAAGGTGGGCTGAATGTGCTGTTTCTGGGGGATTCCCTGGCGCATCAGATGGTTGACAGCTTCCTCAACGGCCTTCTGAGACACATTCCCAAGCCTGCGGTGTGGGCTGTGAACGAAACAATTCCCAAGGAATGCTCTGATTGGCTGGTGGATCCCCCCAGGCATGCCTACTGCCGAGTGTACACTTTCAATGAGAGCTTTTGTCCCGGGCTTACGGTGCAATTCGTGAGGAATGACCACCTGTGGTTTACTTCGCCTGGAGAAGCTAAGTTTGACCACATTCCATGGCATTTGTATTCAGGGTTGAAGGATGCTGATGTGGTGGTGGTGAATCGAGGCGCGCATTTCATTGGGGGGAAGGATTTTGAGAGGAGTGTTCCGGCCGCTTTAGAATTTCTTCGAAAGAAGCTGCCCGACGCGCTGATTATCTGGAGGAATACCCCGCCTGGGCATGCCAACTGCACGTCCTACACCGGGCCGATCAAGAAGCGGCAGAATCCGGAATCTCTGCCGTTCCATTGGGACTTGTTCACTTATCAGAACGAAATGGTTCGGACAAAGATTCATGATGCGGGAGGCGTGTACATGGATGTGGATACTGCTACAGCATTGAGACCGGATTCGCACAAGGGCTTGGTGGAAGAAAGGGGGATTCTAGACTGTCTCCATTATTGCACGCCTGGTCCGACAGATATGTGGGTGGAGCTCCTAGGCGATATAATATTGCGTGGAGTGTATGGGGATGGGCTTGTTCCTGTAAGCGTAATGTAAGAAAGAGATGTTTCTGTTGTTTAAAACGGATGCGCAGTAACCAGCACTGCTGAAGTCGTGATGCCGCGGTAGCTTCGGGTGAGCTGCGCTGCAGACGCACTGTGCGTCGCTGCAAGTGGCTGGTCGGTGCGCTTCAGTCCACGCTTGTCCACCACTTTCATGAAAGTCGAAGCACACTGTACGGGCAGCTTCTACTGACCGACCTGCTCCAACAACAGCTAGACGCGGCTTTTCTACTTCCCCAGAACGGCCATTTCGGGCAGCTCCCAGCCATCACAACTAGCCAAGCCCCCCCCCATTCAACACACCCGTGCAGATTGATTCGACGATCAAGATTCTCACGATAGGGGGCTGAAATCTTATCCCAGCCGTTCCTCTTCAGTCGCTCGCAAGTAGACAGGCAGGGAGGCAGCCTCTTTCTGGCGGGTTGTGGCCAGGGTCGGTGGTTCTGGTTGCTCAAGGTGGAGCTGAGGGAATGTGTGCGCGAGTACAGTAGTTGGTTCGGTGCAGATATTCACATCGACGGTTGACCGATGATCCAGCACAGCTTAGAAGTCAGAATTCCGAATCGTACGGTGGATAGTCCCTGATGGTGTCTCTCCCACAATCTCGCTAACTACCTCCTCCAGAACTACCTCCGAAATGCAAACCCTGCGTTTCACCCATCATCCCGCTCGCACGCCCTTTTCGCTCTATTTCTCTACTGCATTTTCGCTTGTGCTGTTCCTCTGGCCTTCTGTCTTTGTCTGTCACACATGTCTGTCGGTTGGTTGGTTCGAGCCGTCGGCAGCGTCGGATGCATATCAAGTTGCCTAGTGATAGTTGAACTTTCTGATCTTTCCGAGTTGAAATACTAGCAAATCGTCGATTATCGTCCGAGAATTCCGTCGATTGTCGAAATAGTAGCAACTGAGTCCAAGTCGAGCTCGCAGGTCGACGTTCTACTAGAACGAATTAAGGAGCCTTCGTTGCGGAATTTATTTGCTATCTTTCGCGAATAGCTTCGATTTTATCGCGAACGATTCGTCGTTCCTGACACATTACCGGAGACCTACGTCACATTTTTTAAGGTCGGAAAGTTCCTGCGGACTTGCGCAAACGTTTTTGGGACAGATTCGCGTTCTTCATTTTTCGAAATAGCTTATGATTAGCTTCTATGGAGGACGAGGTGAAGCATAGTAGCGCATTCCACGGCGGATCCGACATGGATTTCGACATAATCTCTTCGAGAAACCCTGACGGGGACTTATGGGGGATTGGCGACTTTCAGATGGGTAGCGTCGGTGACGGAATGGTTTCATCCATCGAAGGAGCATACGATGCCCTTATAAGAGACTTCACAATGCCTAGTGGTAGTTGTAACGCTCCCAATGTCGGCGCCGTTGCAACTGCTGGAACAGCATTTGGTTCTTTTACCGGCGCCGTCCCGGTCAGTAATAATTACGTTAGTAGTGGTAACGTCATGCCGTCAAGTGCCAGCGATGCATGGAGGAATGAGCAGGCTGCGCTGGCAAATGAAGAGGCGAGGCATAATGCCATCACCATGGACTCTGGGTCACTGGGAGGAACACAGAGGTTGCACCTTCAGCAGCAGCAGCAGCATCAGCAACAACAGCAACAGCTAGGGGAGAAGAATCAGCAGGGGGTGCAGTGGGGAGGGTATCGCCCTGAAATGAGTCGTGCGCCTGACCCTGAACACATCTCCTCTCGCCTTCATCATCCCTCAAACCCCCCACATCATGTAGAGCTTCGGGAACCGCATCAGACTCATCAGCAGCAGCAGCAGCATCACAGTCATGAGCACGAGTTGGTGGAGGAGCAGGGTGTGGGGGGGGAGGGTCTAATGCCAGCGGCTGTGGGCAACAAGCGGCAGAGGGAGGGGGAGCAACAGCAGACGCCATGTGTGATTGGAAGGCCACAGCACGCGGTGCAGGATGAAAGAGGGGCTTTTTTGGTACAGCCGACAAGGGGATCGGCCTTACGAGGAGACTTTATGAGCCGAAGCTTCAGCGAAGGTAGACCCGGGCAACAGCACCAGCAGCAGCAGCACCACCCCCACCACCATCACCAGCAGCACCAGCACCACCATCAACCGCAGCAGCAGCAGCAGCAGCAGCAGCACGACCCCTCGCTACATCACCGGCGGCAGCAGTCCTTTCCGCTGCCGTCCCGTGGCAGCGCAGAGACAGAGAGCGCCACGTCATCATGGACGTCATCAGGTGCCGTCAGCGAAGGGCGGCGGGTGGGGCAGCGGAAGGGGCGATCCACGGGAGGCATGGGCATGGGCCGTCTGGGGGACGGCATGTCACATCAGGGCATGTCACACAGGAGCATATCACATGAAGGCATGACACATGGGGGCAGGTCACAGGGCATGTCACATCAAGGCATGTTACATCAGGGCATGTCACACGGGAGCATGTCACATGAAAGCATGACACATGGGGGCATGTCACATCAGGGCATGTCACATCAAGGCATGTCACATCAGGGCATGTCACATCAAGGCATGTCACATCAGGGCATGTCATATCAAGGCATGTCACATCAGGACATGTCACATCAGGGCATGTCACATCAGGGCATGTCACATCAGGGCATGTCACATCAGGGCATGTCACATCCAACCGTAGATCAGCATCAGCATCAGCAACAACAGCAACATCAGGCGCACCAGCAAAGTCAAATGCACCAGCAGCAGCAGCAGCAGCAGCAGCAGCAGCAGCAGCAGCAGCAGCAGCAGCAGCAGCAGCAGCAGCAGCAGCAGCAGCAGCAGCAGCAGCAACAGCAGCAGCAGCAGCAGCAGCAGCAGCAGCAGCAGCAGCAGCAGCAGCAGCAGCAGCAGCAGCAGCAGCAGCAGCAGCAGCAGCAGCAGCAGCAGCAGCAGCAGCAGCAGCAGCAGCAGCAGCAGCAGCAGCAGCAGCAGCAGCAGCAGAAGCAACAGCAGCACCCTCGCCCTTTCTTATCCCCCCCTTCCCCTTCCATCGCCCACTCTCACTCTCACTCCTCCCCTGCCGCCCTGCCACTCCGTCTCCCCCGCAACCCCTCCCCATCACCCCTCATAACCCATCCTCCCCCCACCAACTCCCCTCTCCCTCACCCTCCCAGTCACCATCACTCCCTCGCTGCTAACACCGTTAATATAGTCACAGGCAAATCATACCTTCCCCCTGCCCCTTCCGCTGCTCCTTCCCCCTTCCCTTCCGCCACTCCCATGACTGCTCCTTCCGCTGCCCACCTTCCCCCTTCGGATATCCCCCCTGCCGCTCCCCCCATCCCCTCCGCTCCACGAACTTCCCCTTCCGCTTCCCCCATCTCCCCCTCCGCGCTCCTAGGCGCGCTCTCCTCCCTCCAGTCAAAGATATCCGCGTTACAAGTGCTGGTTCCGCTAGTGGCACAATCCGGCCCGTCAGAGGCGCTGCAGCAGCAACAGGAGGTGGCAGCAGTGGGAGTAGCGACGGTGATACAGCAGGTGGCAGCGGCAGCAGTGGGGTTGCTACCGCCGCACCTGCAGGAAAAGCTGGTTGTTCCGGACATTGCTGGCGCGGTTTATGGCAGGGAAGGTACTTCAGACGCGCCTGGGAATGCGCAGCAGCAGCAGCAGCAGCAGCAGCAGCAGCAGCAGCAGCAGCAGCAGCAGCAGCAGCAGCAGCAGCAGCAGCAGCAGCAGCAGCAGCAGCAACACCAGCAACAGCAACAGTATCAGCAGCAGCAGCAGCCGCAGCAGCATCAAGGAGAAGAGCAGCAGGAGTATCAGCATCGAAATCCGTATCAGCAGCAGCAGCAGCAGCAGCAGCAGCAGCAGCTGCAGCAGCAGCAGCAGCAGCAGCAGCAGCAGCAGCAGCAGCAGCAGCAGCAGCAGCAGCAGCAGCAGCAGCAGCAGCAGCAGCAGCAGCAGCAGCAGCAGCAGCAGCAGCAGCAGCAGCAGCAGCAGCAGCAGCAGCAGCAGCAGCAGCAGCAGCAGCAGCAGCAGCAGCAACAGCAGGAGGCGGACCTTACAGACAACACCAACCAGCAAGAGGAGCAGCAGCAGCAGCAGCAGCAAGAAGATCTGGTACCTCAGATTGAGTTGTTGCGAAGGTTCTTAGAAGCTCGCAACCAGCAGCTGCAAGCACCCCAGGCGAACGAAATAGAGGGTGGGACGAACGTGGCAGGCCCAGGAGACTCGAGAGAGGTGGAGACGGCAGGCTCGGGTGCTCTGCCTGTTGTTGAGTCGACTCCAAGCATGCAGAGGCCAAGTCTAAGGGGGGTGTGCGGTTTGGAACGGGAAGGCCAGGTGAACTGCAGTACGTTGCATGACCAAGGACTGCGGTGGGGTGCGGTGATGGCAGGTGTGGACGGGGCTTCGGAGGAAAGAAGAAGGGAGGGGGGAGGGGGGCATGGGGGTGGGGGTGAGATGATGGCATGGGGTGGTGGTGACGTCATGCATGGTGCCGTGAAGGAGGAAGTGCAGGCCATGGATGACGTCAGCATGGGTGGTGGTGACGACATCAATGGGACGCCCATGCCTTTGCGAGGAACCTATTATGGGGCACCTGATGTGGCACCTGACGTTACACCTGATGACGCACCTGATGGTGCTGCATATGATGGTGGCGCTGGTGGTGGTGCCATGGCATGTCAAGCAGTTGCTGTTCCCACGGCTTCACATGGTAACTGCGTGGTACCAAGTGGTAACTGCGTGGTACCAAGTGGTAACCGCGTGGTACCAAGTGGTAACACCAGAGCATCGCATGATAACGCCATGGTATTGTATGAGAACGCCATGGCATCTCAGAGTACTGGCATGCCGCCCAGTGTCAGCATGGGTGGCGCAAGCAGCAGTCAGGGCGGCAGCAGTAGTGTGGGCGGCAGCGTTCTGGGCGGCAGTGGAATGTGCGACAGCGTTTGGGGCGGCGGCAGTGTTTTGGGCGGCAGCGGCGGCATGGGTGTGGGGAGAGGCAGGATACGGGGGAGTAGAGGAGGGAGTGTGGGAGGGGGGAGGAAGGGGGGCGGCAGAGGAGGGAGAGGAGGGGCAAGAGGGGGAAGAATTTTACCTGAGGCAAGTAGAGAGGAGGAAGAGAGTGAGGGGCAAGTGGTAAGAAGATCAAAACTTGGAATTTCTGTGAAGGCTGAGAGTCAACTTGGTGGTGGGAGTGGGGAGGATGAAGAAGAGGAGGACGATGAGGAGGAGGAAGAGGGGGGGAGGAGCAGTGAAGGGGTGACACGTGGCGAGTTTGAATTGGTGGAGCTGCAGGTCGACGAACTTCTAGCAGAGCACACTCTGTTCTGTGAGGTGCGCTCTTGTTTCATCAATAGGTTTTGTTGGAGTTTGTTTCAATGAGGTTTGCTCGAATCTGTTCTCATGAGGTTTGTTTAGTTGTCTTGAACGCACTTGCCTAGTGAGTTGATGGGAATAGCGCCTCTGTTGCCCAAGCATGCTGTTGCACCCCATCCCCCCCATCCCTCACCTCCCACCTCAAACCTCCCACCTCCCACCTCCCATCTCCCATCTCCCATCTCTCATCTCTCATCTCTCATTTCGCGCCACCCCCACCAGGTGTGTGGGAAGGGCTTTAAGCGCGACGCCAACCTCCGCATGCACATGCGGGGCCATGGCGACGCCTACAAGGGTGCCACCTCCCTCTCTCGCCCTGCGCTCTCCGCCGCCCGCTCCGCCACTCACCCAGCCGCCCGCTCCGCCACTCACCCCGCCGCCCGGCCGCAGCGCTACAGCTGCCCAGAGCCCGGATGCAAGCGCAACCAGCAGCACCCGGATTTCCAGCCGCTGAAAACGATTCTGTGTGTGAAGAATCACTACAGGAGGACGCACTGTGCGAAGCAGTACACGTGCAGTCGGTGCGGCGTGAAGCAGTTTGCTGTTCTGGCTGATCTGCGCACGCATGAGAAGCACTGTGGCCGGTCCTCCTGGAAATGCTCCTGCGGGTCGTCCTTCAGGTGGGTTCGGGTGGGTCCAGGCGGGCTCTCAGGTGGGTTTCGGTGGGTTCACCTCTCTCAATTCACAGGCCGCCATGCCGTTGCTGCCAACCCATCAGACTTTGAGTCAACTCAAACCCCCAAACCTTCCCCTTCTTCCCTGTCTCCCCCCTTCCTCCACCTCTCCCCACTTATCCACAGCCGCAAGGACAAGCTACTGGGTCACCTCTCTCACTACACAGGCCACCACGCATTTGGTGCCACTCTTTGACCTCTTAAGTCACCTCAAACCCTCTACCTGTCAACCCCCCTTCCCCTCCCCCCTCCTCTCCCCCTCTTTTTCACAGCCGCAAGGACAAGCTACTGGGTCACCTCTCTCACTGCACGGGCCATCATGCTGTTGCGGCCGGCCCAGTAAACTCTTAGAGTAAACTCAAAGTCCGTGTGTAAGTAGACGACTTTTGAGACGTCTCAAAAGCCGGCCCAGTAAACTCTTAGAGTAATCTCAAAGTCCCTCACCCCACCCATCCTCCCTCGGCCTCTCCCCATCCCCCCCTATCCACAGCCGCAAGGACAAGCTACTGGGGCACCTCTCTCACTTCACGGGTCACCACGCCGTTGCTGCCGGCCCCTCTGACCTCCCACTGCCTGCCCTCCCTTCCCCCGCCGCCTCCACGCCTGCTGCTGCTGTCGACGCTGCCATCGCCGCTGCTTCTGCCGCTGTTTCTGGTGCTGCTGCTGGTGATACTGCTGGCGGCAGTGGTGGTGGTGATGGGAGCAGTAGTGCTGCCTTTGCTGGTTACCATGAGGGGAACAGTGGGGTTGCCATGGGATTGGCTGGAGGTGGGGGGAGGGTAAGTGTTGGCGCCAGCAGGAGCAGCAGTGTGGTAGAAGCAACTAACATGGCTGCCGGCGGTTCTCCTGCTGCTCCCTCTACAGTCACTGCTCCCTCTGCAATCACATCTGACAGTCACTGCCCATGATAGCTGGTTTTGCCCCTCTAACATGCTCCTCTTCATTCTCCAATGTAACCTGCTCAGGTACACTCTGTAGTAAACGGACGCATCGCAGGGTGTAGTGAGGGGAAAATGGACTGGTATTCTGAGGCGTAGGCCTAAGGTTATCGGCATGCGTGCAATAAATGTGTTCAAACGGAATCACAACCAATGTAGTTGTATGGGCATATTTATCTTGGTAATAATAGCATCATGATTGCGAACCACGAGGCATTGGAATACTCGTCATTATACATGCCGTATGCATATTGGGAGGTGCTGCAGAAGGCCTGATCAATTATTATTGCAGTATTTGTTGAAGTATTTATTAGTAAATACGCCATATATAATAAGACGAATTCTAGGAATTTTGGACCACCTGTGAAGGTGTACTGCAGCCTGAAATGTAGATGGAAGGTGGGTGCACCTTCTCCAGAATAGCGTTCAGGTGGATTCCACATGTAGGATACCGGTTAGTCAGGTGAGGATGCAGTCACCACATTCGTCCATTTGGTCAAATACTCGAACAGAACCACGTCATTCGACCAATCCATACAAGGACCACCATCTTGCCACGTTGGCGAAAGGTTGCCAGCATGACTAACGACGGATTTATCCATCATTTTTTTACTTAGGTTACTTTCGTCGAGCTCGCTGACCGACTCTCACAGTCCAGACCATGACCCTGGTCTAGTGTTTGTCAGGTACGTTCCCTTCAGAAGGACCCAAGAACACCTGAGATCACCTGTAACAGCAGCGACGCGTCTCATTCTTTCCTCCCATTTTGTCGTTTCTCAGTCCACGACTTCTCTACAACTCTCCCTCTGCGAAACATGCTGTTCGTTGGCGTCGTTTGACCAACTAGCCATAGGCGCGCCGAGCAGGGAAAGGTAGCAAATTCAGGCCGCCCTGTGAATGCGAAGCCCTGCGACAAAGGAACGTCGCAGGTTCACACCAACCATCTCCTTCCTTCCCCATGACCTCACTTCCCGTCTCTTGAGCAACAACAGACAGCTAACCTCCCATTCCGCAGTAGTTCTCTTCACGTACTCCGAGCATTGCAGTTCCTCCAGTTTCTGATATTCACTTTGCATAGACCGATCTAGGGTTTGCATCAGTTTCCATTCCACTTCCTTCAATTTTCCAGTTTAGCTCCCAGCCATGGCTCGCTACGCCGTCGTGGCCTTCGCTCTCCTCGCCCTCTTCGCCGTGTGCCACGCGCGGCCCGCACCACTCGATGACGATATCACCGATAACACCGTTGTCCCCAACCTCAAGGGACTCTCCCGGGAGAAGATTCAGGAGCTTGCGTTGACAGATCTGGCCGCATGGGACGAGGAGGACAACGGCGTGAGTGCCGCTGAGGCTGATAAGATCGTTGTCGATGAGGATAACACCGTCGCTGCCACTGACGACGCCGCTGACGACTCCGACAATACCGTGGCTGCGTCTAGCGAGGATGTTGCCGACTCCGACAACTCCGTCGTCGCGTCGTCCGCGGAGGCTGCTGCTGAAGACAACACCGTGGCTGTTGCCGAGCCTGCTGACTCGGACAACACCGTGGCTGTTGTGGCTGCCGAGGCTGAGGATGACGTTGTTGCTGTGATGCCTGAGGACAACGTTGCTACCGCTACCGCCGCCAAGTCGACCGACATGGGTATTGCCATGGTTGTGTAAAAATGGTCTCTGCATGTTCTATTCGTTTCGTTGATTTGTACGAAATGTTTTTACACCTGTACTGTATTAAACAAATAGACGTAATACTAAGGATCCTTCGTTCGTAATGTATCTAAATGTGCTAAAGCACCTGGTTGGTGCTCATTGCTTATTGCCCTTGAGCGCTAGTTAGTGTGCACCTCACTAGGGATGTACACGATGGCTGGTGATTGAGCATGTACCACCTTCCAACCCACTACGCTGAAATGTGCCGTCGGAATTTTCACACATTCCCTCCGGCGAATAATATGAGAGCTGAAGCATGGACGGTGTAAACGATGTATTTATTAGCAGCAACTTATTTCTAAACAGTACGGTCATATACAGCTCTTGTTTCTACCAAATAGAGAACAGCTACAGTATGATGCAGATCAAGAGCAAGTCACTAATAAGAGACATACTTGCAGGAAAAACAGTGCTGGCACAGCATCTTGCACAACCAGTGGATTCACCGCAATCTTCAACCAATCACATCCACCTCGAAGCAATCACATCGCACCAATCCAAAAGCGACGATCCCGCCATAGGCGATAGCCGTCTATCATGCGAGGTGAATCAGCAGCTGAAGAGCCTGCCAATGGGGTGACACACAATAGTGATGGGTGGATATATAAATGAGACACAGCCGGGCGTGGGGGCGGAGGGTGGTGCAGAGAGGGGAGGCAAGGAGAGGGGGGGAGGGTGAGGAGGTGTGGTGGGGGTTGGGGAAGCAAGAGGAGAGGGTTTTCAGGATCCATGATTGCATTGCAATGTTGGGCGTGCTGTTTGTTCACGATGTTTTAACAAGTGTGGGATGATGGTGCAAGACACAGAAGTTGGACAAAACCTTCCTCCTCTCTCATCTCTCCTTCCCCCCACTTGATCTTCCCTTTCCTCCTCAACATAGCTCTCCCCCTTCTCTCCTTCCCACCCCCCCTCACTTCTAGTTCTGTCACTCTCCTTTCCTTCCCTTTCTCCTTCTGTACCTCTCACCTTCCCTCTTACCTATCCCCTCTACCCCTCTCACCTTCCCTCTTACCTATCCCCTCTACCCCTCTCGCCTTCCCTCCTACCTCTCCCCTCTTCCCACCAATCACTCCCCCTAACCCCTTCCCCTCTCTACCATCACCTTTGCTCGCCCGCGCTCAGACCCTGTCCGCGCCACGGCCGCCAGCAGTTTCCAAATCTTCCTCTCCCTCTACATCCATGCACTTCCCTCACACTCACCTTTGCTCGCCCACGCTCCGAGCCTGTCCGAGCCACCGCCGTCAGCAGCTTCCCAATCTTCTTCTCCCTGATCGCCTTCCTGTGCCCCCCGCCATTGTTATCCCACAGAACCACCAGAATCGCCGTCGCTTCCTCCTTCCCCTTATCCGATCCTCGCTCCAACGCCCTTGCCAGTGCACCCACCCCTTCTGCCTGCACCACCGCCTCCCTCCCCTCCGGCCTCGTTACAAGCTGCCTCATTGTAGCGAGAGCCTTGTCTGCCAGCCGGTGGCCGGGTGCGCGAGTTATAATGTGGATTAGCGCGCGGTGGGTGCCGGAGAGAAGGAGGGTTGATTTGTTGGAGGTGAGGTGGGAGAGGTTGAGGAGAGTGAGTAGGGCGTCTTCTTTGGCTCGGTCTGAGTTGGCCGGACAAGCCGAGGGCTGCCGCTGGGGCTTTTCGTCCAGTAGGATGGAGACGAGGAGCGGGATCGCGCCGGCCGCGCCGATGTCCAGCCGGGCGGCGTCGCATGAGGAAAGGACGAAGAGAGCTGCGATTGCTGCGTCCCGGACGGCGGTCGGGGCGGCACGGAGGATGTGGACGAGGATTGGGGCGGCACCGAGATCGGTGACTATAGTGCAGTTGACTGGATCGAGAGTGAGGTTGACTAAAGCGAAAGTAGCAGTCTCTGCTAAAACCCAGTTGGTATGAGCAGGGTTGAAAGAAGGGGAGGTGGAAAGAGGAGGAGCGGTAGCGGAAGAGAGAGAGCGGGAGGGGGTGGTGCCGGCATGCGGAGTGTGCGGGTGGTGCAGTGCGGGAAAGCCAGGGTGTGCTGCTGAGAGGTGCCTGGGAGTAGCATTGGCAGCAGCAGCTGCAGCAGACCCGTACCCAGCAGGGTAAGGAGATGGGAATGAGTGAGAAGCAGCCAAGGAGGGGGTTCGAGTGGGGGAAGGTGCTCGCATGGATCCTGCACGCTCTGAAAAGGGAGTGGCTGGAATGCCATAGCCAGGCGCGGAGGAGGAGTAGCGGATGGGAGGGTGGGAGGGGGAAGGGGCCACCCAGGGGTGTGCTGTGAGGGGCAGGCCAGGCATGGCAGGCGAGGGGGGAGGGTACGGATAGCTTGTAGCAGCAGACGCAGAGTAGGGAAGACCGGCAGCAGCAGCAGCGCCAGGGGGAAGAGGGAGCGGATCCCCCATGCCTACTCCTCCTCCCGGTCCCTCCTGCTTCTCCTGTTTCTCCTGGCTCTGCAGCAGTACCGCCTCCACGCCCACAGGCAGCCCAGCAGCAGCAGCAACGCAGTCCAGCAGCGGCCGCAGCACCCCTGCCTGCCTCAAGTGCTCCCGCGCGTCCTCGTCCCCCCGTGCCACCTCGCGGATTCGCCCCGCTGCGTGCAGCCGCGCAGGCTCGGAGCCCTGCAGCATCCGAACCAGCTCGGCAGGCTCGGCGGGGTGGAGGAAGATGGCAGGGAGGGGGTTCTTGGGGGGAGGGGGTGGGAGGGAGGAGGAACGGCTGAGCTTGTCTTTCTCCTTCTCCCTTTCCTTCTCCCTCTCCCTCTCCTTCTCCTTCTCCTTCTTCTCCTTCTCCTTCTCCTTCTCCTTCTCCTTCTCCTTCTCCTTCTCCTTCTCCTTCTCCTTCTCCTTCTCCCTGCCCCTCTCCCTGTCTCTCCCTCTTCCACGCTCCGACACTCTTTCATCAAATGCCGGTGGGATTGCATTCGTCTTCTGCTCCCCCTGCCTCTCTCTTGATTTCTCTCTTTCCTCCTCCCGCTTTTCCTTTTCCTGCTTCTTCTCCTCTCCTTTCTTCTTGCTCTTCTCACTGACCTTCCTTTCCTGCGGCTGCGGCTGCTGCTGCTGCTGCTGCTGCTGCTGCTGCTGCTGCTGCTGCTGTTGCTGTTGCTGCTGGTTCTCAAGCCCCAGGTGTTTTGGCAGGTGGTCAGGTGTCAGGTGCTCTGGCTGCGGTATCATCTCCCCCTCATTCTGGTGCTGCTGCTCTAACCACTGCTGCACCTTCCGTTCAGACTCAAACGCCTGAGACTCCAACTCTCTCTCTCCTTCCCCTCCTTCTCCTTCCCCCTCCCTCTCTTCCCTCTCCTCCAATCCTTCATCTTCGCCCACTTCCATCACCATCACCACCTCTTTCACCTCTTTTGCCTTCGGAGTAATGGCTTCTGCGTATTTCTCCCTTGTCCCGGCTCCTGCACGCTCCTGCTGATGCCGCTTCTTAGGTGTTTCCTCAGGTGCTTTTTCAGGTGTTTTCTCCGACGCCCTTTCCGTCTGTTCCTTTCCACCCGTCTTTTCCTCATCCTGCTGCTGCCCCAGAAAAGGGTGTGTTTTGCTGTTGCCTCCCTCCCTTGCAACCTCCTTTTCACCCACCCTTCCCCCTTTTCCCGTTTCTCCTCCCCCTCCCTCTTTCTTCAGACACCCACTCGCAGGAGCACCAGCGCAACTCTCTACCTTCCCTAACTGCTCCTTCTTCCGCCTTGCCGCAGCTGCGGCGGCGGCTCGGCGTGCAGGTCCGGACGGGGTGGTTGGGGAAGCAGGTCCGGGGGCAACAGCTGAGGTAGGCAGAGTGACAGGCTCGGGAGCAGGTTTGGAAGCAGGTTTGGTAGGAGGTGCGGATGGAACAGGGGTTGCAAGCTCCTCTGGTGCTGTTGCCCCTGGTTCTGTTGCCCCTGCTGCTCCAGCAGCAGCATCGACAGCAGAAACAACAGCAGGAGCGGCTGCAGCGGCAGCAGTAGGAGCAGGAGCAGGAGCAGGAGCAGGAGCAGGAGCAGGAGCAGGAGCAGGAGCAGGAGCAGCAGCAGGAGCAGGAGCAGGAGCAGCAGCAGGAGCAGGAGGCGGGGCGTTGGCAGCCTTGGCCTTGGCAGCAGCCGCAGCGGCTCTCCTGGCGGGGCCAGACAGATAGATCGCTTTGGCCGACCGTACAGAGGTAAGTGAGAAGGAGGCGGTGGAGGAGGAGGGGGTGGGCGGACCAGCAGAGTCATCTGCAGCAGAATCAGCAGCAGCGGAATCAGCGGCAGCGGTAGTGGCAGCAGGATTAGTTACTCCAAGTGCGGTGGCAGCAGTGGCAGCACCAGAAGCAGGGGCAGGAGAGGCCGTCGCAGTAGCAGTGGCAGGTGGTAGTTCCGCTGGTGCAGGTGCAACTGGTGCAGGTGTATCTGATGAAGGTGGAGGGAGAACAGACGATGGGCTGCTACCATTGCTCGTGGCAGCCGCTTTCCCTCCCTCTCCGTCGCTGCTGGCTGCCTCAGGTGCCTGTTCAGGTGAAATCTCAGGTACTTCAGCAACAGACGGGAGGGCACCTTGGCTGAAGCTAGAGATGATCCCCAGGCCTGGCTCCGAACCAGCCACAGCAGGTTCGGCAGGAAGAGAGGGAGCAGGTTCGGCGAAAGGGATACCCAGGCACTCCTCTCGCATAATCTTGACCACAGATAAGGCAGCTCCTATCAAAGCAGGGTTCTTGAAACGAACTATCGCTGCAGGTGCTATCGGAGCATACTCAAACGAGGATCCCACGGAGACGGGCATGGAAGCGACCGAGCCTGAGTCCGTTGCCGTACCTGCCGCCGAGCCAGAATCCGTGGCTGTTCCAGCTTCGGAGTCAGTCCCCGTAATTCTTCCGAGCCCGTCATTGTCACTGTTGCCATTAGCACTGTGGTAACCAGACGTTCCCTCGCTACTAACGCTGCCGTTCATGCTCCCGTTGTAAGGAAAGCTCTTCCGTCCCGCCACTCGCCCCCTCGCTGTTCTGTTGCTCTGCCTCCTGCTGCTGCTGCGCCTTCTGCTGCCGCTGCCACCGTCGTTCTCACACTCCTCCTTAATCTCCTCTAAAGCCAAAATTTCTTCGTTAAAGTCCTCCTCCGTTATAAGATCAAGCTGCCCTGCCAGCATCAGAAGGCTGCGGCGCTTATCGGGGGCAACAGAAATGCTGCTGCTTGTAGTGCAGGAGCACCTGCCGCTACTCCCCCTGCTGCTGCTGCCACTGCCGCCACTGCCGAAGCTGCTTCCCTTGCTGGAACTGCTACTGCCGCTGCTGCTCATGCTGTTGCTGTTCGCAGCACCGCAGGTGCAGGCATGGGGGGGCGGAACGAACGAGGCGATGGTGTCGCGGCAGCGGACGGCGGAGGGCTCTACGGGGTACTGCGCGCGCGAGAGCTTCGAGAGGATGTGCGGCACCTGCGGAGTGCGGGAGATGGGGGGAAGGGGGAAGGGCGGAGGTGGAGACGCGGAGAGGTGAGGAGGGGGAAAGGGGTGCATGGATGGGACGAGCAGAGTGAGGCGGTGGCGTCAGGGCAAAGCATGGCCAGAGGGCTTGGCTACTGCGGGCATTGCACAGGGCTCGTCGCGCTACTGCGGGCATTGCACAGGGGTCGTCGCGCTACTTCGCGTTGGTAAACACGAACTCAGCGTGAAACCCTTGATTCGCCCGCATTTCTCTTTTAAGGTGAAGCATACCTGGAACTGCCACCCCGAAGCTTGCCCGTGCGACAGCCCGTGCCAGTGCGGCTGCTGCACGGGCGACGGCTCGACGACGGAGTGTGCGTCGCGCAGAGCGTCGCCCAGTCGCATGGTCAGGTCCTGAAACTTCTGCGCTGCCCATTCCGAGCTGATCGCCTGAGTGGAGACAAAAAAAAAGGTGACACCCGGTTTTCCCTCGAAACGCACATTAAGTGGACTGGAAACGAAAATAAAGAGTTCTGAGAACCGTCTCGAAAAATGAGAGGCGAGGGACGCGGAAAGAAGACGGGGAGAAGAGAACACGTGGCATGCAGCTGCCCGCGTTCCCGAAAAACTCACGATGTACGCCTTGCTGCGCGCCAATGAGCACCAGTAGAGCAACCCGGAAGCTTCCTCCAGCACGGCCCTCAAATCGTCCAATGCCGACTGAAGCAAGATGTTTCCGCGAAGCTGCTGCCGCTGCGCGCTCCACGCGTCTACCAGCGGCTCGACGTCCTCCAATAGGGAAAGCAGCAGCGCGCAGTGGCTTCTAAGAGCCGAGGCGAATTCCGGTGGCGGCGCGTTGTCTTCGTCGAGGATGGATGTTAGGAGGAAGGCGAGGCGGTCTGTCAGTCCGTAGAAATCCATTCGGGCAGTCATCGTCGGTTAATCGACGGACCGCTTCGGCCGTAATTGTTTAGAACGGGCGAACGGCGTCTAAGCTGACGGAACCGATTCGCGTAATCTTGGTTACAAACGAAGGGTTGGGGGAGCGATGCTGACGGCTACTATGCTAAGCTAACGACTGAATGCATGCAGGAGCAGAGTTAACTAAACGCCATTGTCTGACTAACCAATGTTTCTTTCCCCTGGTCTCACACCGTTGCAAGCACTAATCGTCTCGCCAAGTCGTGCGGAACTGCTTTCATTCCCATTGCTTAGTACATAACGAAATCAGTGCGACACTGAAGAAGAGAGAAAGAGAGTGGAACAATGCTTTGGTGTGGTTCTCGAGAAATAAAATAACGTTTCAGTGCGGTGAGGAACGATACAATGATTTTAGAGGGCACCCTGGTTTCCGCCGCATCGACTTGCTCCCAACACATTTTGCATATTACCGAGTCGCTCGCTCAGAACCACAGCCCCGGCCGGGGCGCATATCGCCGTACCCGAACCGGCCGCTGCGTTTGACAAAACAGGAAAGAGGGGGCTCTACGTTCGGACAAGCTTGGGATCCTCTTTCGTGAGGGATGTGGTGGTTTGAGGAGATTACGAACCTGAAACAAACGCTGCCGAAGGGCTTGTAACGTGGCTTGGGGCTGCAAACAGTTGCGCCGAACTAAAAGCCTGAGCTGGACAGGAACGTCCAAGCAAGTGCGATAGCTCAGGTGTGTCGCGAGTCTCAAAGACACAGAAGGGCTTGCGACCACGTCCAAGTCTCGACATAACGCCATTTTGCTGTGGCACAAGGATATCCCAGATAGGGAGATTCGTTAACAATACTAGCTGTTACAATACTAGCTTAGACGATGCGCGACCTCAAGCTCTATACAATGGTGTACTTTTAGTGTTCATTACGGGAACCTAAACACCACTTTTTGGAGTTCCAGGCTATCGTCCAAGCTTCACCTATCATCATGCAAGTTAATGTCATGCAATAGTAACCAAGGTTACAAGCTACTCCATGGTTTCCATCGCAGCTCATTGCTGGCTGAGGCATCACATCGCGTCAACAACTGTGTTTACAGTTCCCAAAGGCCATCTAAACTCAAGGCGAACGTTTCCCGAAGCAATGTGCTTATCCCCAGAGACGCACTTGTCTTCTCGGGTCTGGACCAGCAGCGTTTTGCTTTCAAGCACAAGAGATATAAATCGTCAGATTTTTCAGTGCTCAGATCAGCTTGCTTTCCAGCCATTTCCGGGCTGCCAATCTATCCTCATCATTGCACAATGGGAAAGGGACGCAACAACAAGTCGAGCAAGAAGACAGGGAATGGCGATCAAAGAAAGGAGACGGGAGCGAACGTACCTGACGTACATGTGCCGGACGCTGTTGGACATGGCCGGTCTACCACTCCAGGGACCCCTGCTGTGATCGATCCCTTCGAGGACCTGCTCGACCTGCGGAACAATGAAGACAATGCTGACGACTCTGGTGACGGCGACGCTAATAGTGAAGAAGGATCCGGAGCCAAGGACCAGAAGTCAGAAGGGGAAGCTGCTGCTACTGCTGGAGACAACAAGAACGATGACGAGGAGGATTTGTCAGACCCGGTCCCTGACGATGAGGATGATGGGTATTTGAGCGACGACTCGGACGAACATCTCGAACCTGCTTCGCTTACTAGTGCTTTAGCTTTAAAACGTTTCTCACTAACCTTGCTGGTGCCGATCTTCAGGAAAGCGGAAGTCAAACGTGCTGCGGTAACAATCGCAGCATTGTTGGACGACTAGAAGGATCTGTTGTCCCCTGATGTGCTGCACACGACGGCCTACCAGGATCTCACGGCAACATACTTCTCCGGCAACCGCTACGGCCGGCTGCAGGTCACCTTCAACCATGTCAGAGATGCGAACTATGTCTGGAACCAAGTCATCAAGCACGAATGTGTGAACGGAGACATCATCGATCTCACCTGGCAGTTCCCGGAAGATGCACGCTTTCTCCGCGAGTGTGTTATGAACCCTTTGGCGCAGGAGGTTGCCGTCAAGGGAGTGCCAGCCGAGATCACTGCTGAGCTTGTCCGTCATCTGCTGGTGGTGTCAAAGCTGGTTAAGCATGGCAGGAGTGCTTTCGCCTATGGTTTTGGCTTTCACCGTACGCTGGACCCGGTCACCGGGCTTGACACTGATCGTATTCGTGGCCTGGTTATCCCCCATGCTGATGATGAGTACCGCTGGAGATACTTCGTGGAGGACCCGACGACGAAGAAGCGCTACCTGCTCCATTACCCGTCACTCACCTGCGAGCTTTGCAGTGGTCCGCATCTGTCTCGCTACCATGATCGCTATATCATTGCAAGGCATGAGAACTTCACCAACTGGAACCTGACGGTCAAAAAGGTTCATGAGATGAACGGTATACGTCGAGCTGCTCCGCACTCTCCTCCTCTGAGCTCTTTGCCGCTAGATTCTTTACTCTTAACAAGTACTGACGCCCTTTCCTTCAACTCTCCCGGCAGCCGCATCTCTGAAAGCTTCCACTCTTGTGAAGCGCATCATGAAGGACCCCGCAGTTATACTCACCTCCACAGGAGGAATGCGGGAGGAGTGGGTGTATGTGCAAACCATATGTGAGAAGGCGCAGGGTAACCGTTTCGAACAAGCAGCGGCTCATGTTGCATCTACCAGGCACAAGGGAGGACTACATACAGAAGGCGCAGCAACTCGTGCCAGCAAGCACTCTCAGAAGATGGCTGCCTTCAAAAAGGATTTCATTGTCAAACCGGCAGTGAAGTAAGCAGCGGTCCGGATGATGACAGTGAGAAGAAGTGAACGAGAGAATGAGTGAACTATGAACGAAGTGAGTACAATTAGGAAACCCTAGTTGGGTTGTACCCCCTATGGGATACCCCACTATAGCCTACACAAATAAGTAAGCTATAATATTCTGACACACCCCCATAGGCAAAGTGGGGGAGAACAAGGGGTCACAAGACCAGTCAAGCAAAGCAAAGCAAAGCTCAGGGTGGATCACAAAGTCACCACACATTCCGAGCACAAGTTCAAAGGCCTCAAGGCCAGTTCACATGCAAGATCATATATAGAGATATACAGGAGTCAAGCAAGCAAGAACAACAGTATATATAGGTCAAGGTACAAGCAAGGTCAAGAAGTGAGCAAGTGAGGCAAGACAGGCACAACACCCAGCTGCGTGCAGCAACGCTGATGATCACAAGGCGCAAGTGCCTTGGTGAAGACATCAGCAGTGTTGGTCTCAGAGGCCACGTAAGCAAGTCGCAACTGTCCACGCTGCTGTAGCTCACGAGCAAGAAAGTAGCGGAGAGCAATGTGCTTTGTCCTGTGCTCCAGTCGCTGCTCTCGACACAAGGCCAGCATGGCCTTGTTGTCTACGTACAGGACTGGGGGAGAACGAGGCGGCTCTCCAAGGTCGGTCAGCAGGTAGGTGAGCCAGCGAAGCTCCAGAGCAGCCATAGCCCCGGCGTAGATCTCAGCCTCACAACTGGAGCCGAGAACAGAAGACGAGCGGGTAGCTCGCCACGAAACAGAGCCGGAACCAAGGCTGAAGGTGTAACCCTGTGACGACCGCTGCGTAGCCTGGTCGTCAGCCCAAGAAGCGTCCGCGTGCCCAGTGAGGACCACTGGAGTGCGCCCTCCAAGCACTAGCCTCATGCCCGATGTACTGCACAAGTAGCGCAACACCCTCTTCGCTGCAGCCATGTGCTCTGGTCGGTGTCTCCCAGGAGCAACATAGCGTGCGAGAATGCTAAGAGGGTATGCAAGGTCAGGTCGTGTGCAGGACATCAGGTACATGAGGCAGCCAACAAGCTCTGCATACGGACCACTCGACTCTACGGACTCATCCGAAGGCAGAGCTGAGAGTGAGTGGCGAGTAGGGAGAGGAGTGGCCTGAGGCGAGGAGTACGTGAAGCCGAAGCGCTGAAGGACCTGCTGCACCATGTGTGACTGAGTCAGGGTAATGGTGCAGCGTGCTCTGTCCCGGGTGATCTGCAAGCCAAGGTAGCTGCGCAGTTCACCCAGGTCAGTGCACGTGTGTCTCTTCTGCAGCTCGGACTTCACGTAGGCGAGTCCAGCAGTGTCAGCTGTGGCAAAGACCAAGTCGTCGACGTACACGAGGATGTAGAACGGCGGCAGAGAGGTGTCGGTGCGCAGAAACAGCGACGGGTCGGCAGTAGAAGGAGCAAACTCAAGTGCCACCAGCGTAGTCCTCAGTGTGTCATGCCACTCACGTGGCGCCTGGCGGAGACCGTAGACTGGACGCCGGAGACTCCACTTGGTGCCAGGAGGGAAAGACCTAGTGAAGCCAGGTGGGCGACGCAGCCAGATCTCCTCGTGCAGGCTGCCCTGCAAGAAAGCAGTGCTGAAGTCGAGGGAGTGCAGCTCGTAGTCACGGTGAGCAGCAACGTGCAGCAGTACCCGAAGAGTGGTCATCTTCGGGGTGGGGGAGAAGGTCTGAAAGTAGTCAACTCCCTGCCGCTGACTGAAGCCTCGAGCCACGTAACGCGCCTTGAAGACAGGCGGAGAACCCGGCGGCCGCTTCACCTTGAAAATCCACATGCCACTGACTATGTTCGCCCCAAGAGGGGGAATAGCGTCAACGTAGGTGCCTGTGGACTTCCAGGAAGCCATCTCTGCATCCATAGCTGCCTGCCACTAAGAGGAGTAGGGACCCTCTATCGCCTCCGCGTAAGAGCGCGGAGTCGGGATGTCTAGTGCATCCAGGTCTCCCTCAGGGGCGAGCAGTACAGACGCGAGATGAGGTGAAGCGGCGGCCAGACACTGGAACTCCTCCTGCCTATCCTCAAGGACGTCTGTGCCAAGGGCACACTCACCCCCGACGAACGGAGGACAGGCAGACTCAGACTCAGCGACAAGACTAGCAGCGTAGTCTAGACGACAGCGCGCAGCAAAGTCGACGAGCTCAGTGACAAGGGCAGACGCAGCAGACGACTCAAAAGAAGGGTCAGTGACAGCAGTAGCAAGGAGACGCGTGACAGTGGGACTGGTAGCACGAAGAGAGTCCGACTCCGGGTCGGCAAGAGCAGGAAGAGAGGAAGAAGGAGGAGAAGGCAAAGGGGCACGCAGAGGAGCAGTGGACGGACCAAGTACCCCCAGAAGAAGCACCCGCTCCAGCAGCACCTCCAGCAGCACCTCCAGCAACACCTCCAGTAGCTCCAGAACCCCCAGCAGCACAAGGAGCACTGCCAGTAGGACCGCCAGCAGTAGTCTCAGCGCCAACACCCTCAGCAGCTCTAGCTCCAAGAGAACCCTCAGGCCCAGCAGCTCCAGCACCCACAGCACGAGCACCTCCGGGACGCGTGCCAACAGCACCCTCTGCAGTCGAAGAACCTCCAGCACTAGCAGCACTCCTCCAGCGCCGGGCAAACCACTCACGCATCTCCTGTGGGGAGAGTGGCTCTCGGCGAGACGCAGCACCTCCAGGCGGAGAACCTCCAGGTGAAGAGCCTCCAGGCTCAGCATCCTCAGGCAAAGCACCTCCAGGCGGAGCACCCCCAGTCTCAGCACCCCCAGGCTCAGCACCCCCAGGCCCAGCACCCCCAGGCTCAGCACCCCCAGACTCAGTACCCCCAGGCTCAGCACCCCCAGGCTCAGCACCCTCAGGCTCAGCACCTCTAGACTCCGCACCCCCAGGCTCAGCACCCCCAGGCGTAGCACCTCCAGTCCGAGCACCCCTAGGCTCAGATCCCGCAGCAGCACCAGAGTCACCAGTGAGCTCGACCGCGTCTACCTGGGACACATCTGAAGGGGCAGGACCCTGAGGAGGGAGGGGGTCTACCGGGGGGGGACCTGGTACCAAGAAGAGCGGGGGCGGGGGGAGGGACGGAGTGCGGTAGGGGAAGAGGCGGTAGTAGGGTACCGACTCATCGAACGTGACGTCCTGGGAGGACAGAACACGTCGAGAGGTGGGGTGGTAGAACTGCCACCCAGGGGCGTCGGGGGGGAATCCCAGGAAGACGCAGGGAGCAGCGCGAGGGGACAGCTTCTCCGCAGACAAGTCGCGGACAGACGCCCGAGATCCCCAGACCCGGAACGCCGACGCATCGCCAACCTTCCCCGTCCACAGCAGGGCTGGGGAGGTCTCCGGCCTGGAGACCCTGGGGTGGAGGTTGATCTGATGCGCCGCGTACCTGACCGCAAACGGCCACAGAAAATGGGGAGCAGCTGCATGCATCATAGACGTACGAGCGACGTCCATGACCATGCCAATGCGGCGCTCTGCAATCCCATTTTGCTGCGGTGAGTCCGGAAGCGTGAAGGTCTGGCGAATGCCTCGCGCACGACAGAAGGCACGGAGAAGGCCAGAGGAGAACTCTCCGCCTCTGTCCGAGTGCAGACGCAACACAGGAAAGTCCGAGCCAAAGCTCTGCCTGAGCTGGAGATGAGCTGCGCGGATCCAGTCGATCAGCACCTCAGTGACATCACCCTTGCTGCGCAAGGGGAAGACTGTGGTGTAACGCGAGTAGTCGTTAACCGCCAACAGGAAGTAGCGCTCGTGACCGAGTCCACGGACGCGGGCAGGGCCCCACACATCCATGTGAAGCGTCTGCAACGGAGCCTCTGTCGGAGGAAACTGGGAGGAGTGAGGGGCAGCGCGCTGGCGCCCCTCGACACAGGGGACACAGGCAGGGCCAGGGCCCTGAGGAAGGGGAGGGAGGGACCGGGGGAGACCAGCCACAAGAAGACGGGAGGCCATGCCTCTGAGCCGAAGCAGAGAGGGGTGGCCAAGGCGGTGGTGCCAGAGGAGAGTCTCGTGAGACAGACGCCACGAACAGGGGGCAGACTCAGGACCAGACCTGGACGCTGCAGCAAACAACTGACCAGACGAAGGGACTCTACCAGACTCAGCACCGGGAGGAGAAGCAGTGGTCAGTGTGTACAGGCTCGACCCTGGTTGACGTGTAAACGTAGCCAGGTGGCGACCTGTGCTAGCCTCTGTGCAGTGTGTCACCCGCTGACGAGCAGGAGTGAAGTGGTGGACACCCACATCCTGTAGGTCAGCACCACTCACCAGGTTCGTAGAGAACGAGGGGAGGTAGAGACCAGTCAGGGCGCCAGAGGGGGCCGCCGGACACGGGAGGACTGTGGAGAAATGAGACAGGACAGGACCCCCAGAGGGGTCAGCCAGGGACACCGCAACCGGCCGACTAAGCGGCATGAGAGTGGTGCGGTCCCGAAAGAAGGAGCGAGACGCCCCAGAGTCAAGGGTGAAGGTGTGAGAGGCCGAAGCCGACACAGTGCCTGAGAGCGCAGACTCACTAGTACTTGAGAGCACAGACGCACTGGCACCTAGAGCAGCAGCCTCACTGGCACCTGACGCAGCAGTACAATGCCCGGGTCGGGCGGGAAACACCGGTAACAGTCACCCTCATCACTAACAGTCACAGCATACATGGCAGCAAGGATAGCATCAAAGTCAAGATCAAAGATAGCTACACCAGCCCTAGACAGCTCTCCCCAGCGGGGGATCTCAGAGGCCTCCGGAAACTGCTGGCGCCAAGCGTCGGTCAAGCGGGCAAAGCAGCGGCGGGCGGTGTGGGTGCCCCCACACTGCTCACCCACGCGGTCGCTGGTGCGAAGGACGTAGGTGCAGGGACCGAACGCCCCACCACGCTGACGCTGCGAGTACCACTCACGGAGCTGCTGAGGGGTGGGGACGTTGCGAGAGCACTGCTACTGCTGCTGCTGCTGCTGCTGCTGGCGCTGACCACCCCCAGTGCTGCTCCGCTGGGACGAGCCACTCTGACCACCTCCACCACTGCCACCAACGCCACCGCCGCCACCGCCACCCTCGCCCCCGCCACTCCCACCGCCACCTCCGCCACCACCTCCGCCGCCGCCTCCGCCTCCACTGCCGCCACCAGTACCTCCACTCCCGCCACCACCTCCACCGCCACCCCCACTCCCTTCGCTGCCCCCACCTCCTCCGCCACCGCCCCCGCTAGCTCCACCCGCTCCCTTGCCCCCCTTGCCCCTGCTAGAGCGGCGCCTACCGCTGGGGGCAGACGCCGCACCAACCGACTCCAAACCAACGAGGTCGGCCGCAACAACAGAGGCGACAGAGGGTAACGGGGGGAAGGGAGAACACCCCTCAAAGATGGGGGTGCGAGGGTCACCACGAGAGGCCCCTACAGCGACTATACTTTTCTCAGCCGCTAGCAGGGACTTCTCAAGGAGGTCGACAGTGAGTGTGGTAGGACAGACAGAGAGAAACTGGTCCCTAATGGCACGAAGGGACTCAGGGAGACGGGTGACTAGAAAGTAGAGAGTGATGTACATGGGAGGAGGGTTTGCGGCGCGGAAGTCAGCAGGAAGCGCAGCGCGGTAGCGAGTGTCACTAGCGCGGAGGTGGGTAAAGAGGTCAGTGACTGTGGGAAAGGCAGCGAGGTCAGGGAAGAGGTACGGTAGCATGAGGCGGCTCAGCGTAGCGGAGGAAGGGGAGGAGTAGCGCGCAACTACAGCGTCGTACAAGGCCTGAGCGGTCTTGCACTGGCTAAAGTGCGCACGCTCGGAGGAAGGGAGGTGGCGACGCACAGCAAGACGTGCAGCAGCATCGCGTGTGGCCCACTTGGAGCGAACAGTGGGGTCAGCATCAGCAGGAGGGGCAGGGACAGCGCCAGAGACAAAGTCAAAGAGAGAAACCTCATCTATCGCATCGCACAGTAAGTACAGCTGCAGGTCCTCGACCCAGACTGCAAAGTCAATGGCGCGACCCTCAGCATCAAAAGCCAGGACACTGGGGGTGGCCATTATAGCAGCTTACAGTCTCACCGAGCAGGAAGAGTCGGGTAGCTCAGTAGTACAGCAACACGGCAGCACAGCGGCTGTGCCGGTCCAGGTGCAGCAGCAGCCCCACAGGAGCAGGAGCTCGGCACCTCAGGTTGCTCGGGCGGCTCGGGCGGCTCGGGCGACTCGGGCGGCTCGGGCGGCTCGGGCGGCTCGGGCGGCTCGGGCGGTTCGGGCGGCTCGTGCGGCTCGGGCCGCTCGGGCGGCTCGGGCGGCTCGGGCGGCGCAGGCGTCTCGCGGGCGGCGCACGGGTGACTGCACGAGCGGCCGGGGCGGGTCACGGGCGGCGCGCGGGTGGCTAACGGGCGGCTGGGGCGGCTCACGGGCGGCTGCACGGGCGGCTGGGGCGGCTGGCGGGCTGCTCGCGGGCGGCTCGCGGGCTGTGCACGGGCGGCGCACGGGCGGGTGGGTGGCTCGCGAACGGGCGGCGCACGGGCGGGCGGCTCACGGACGGGCGGCGCACGGGCGGTGCCAGCGGCTCACGGGCGGGCTGGTGGCGCACGGGCGGGCGGCTCACGGGTAGGCCGCGGGCGGCTCACGGGCGCTAGGGCAGGCCGTGGGCGGCGGCTCACGGGCAGGCCGCGGGCGGCTCACGGGCGCTAGGGCAGGCGCCGGGCGCTAGGGCGCTAGGGTTGGCGCTAGGGCGGGCGCTAGGGCGGGCGCTAGGGCGGGCGCTAGGGCGCTAGGGCGGGCGCAAGGGTGGGCGCTAGGGCGCTAGGGCAGAAAAAAAAAGTTTTCCGAAGTGGTGGGCCCTAAGCAAAGTTCCCACAGGGGAACCTGCTCGATACCATGAGAAGAAGTGAACGAGAGAATGAGTGAACTATGAACGAAGTGAGTACAAATAGGAAACCCTAGTTGGGTTGTACCCCCTATGGGATACCCCACTATAGCCTACACAAATAAGTAAGCTATAATATTCTGACAGACAGCGCTGGGAAAGGAATGGAGGAAGCTGCAAGGTGGATCTTGGGAGCATGCTGTGTAGTTGGTGCCATGTTCTCTTTCGCTGTAGCTGGCTGTATCGTCGCAATAAAGCTCAATCGCCCGTGGATGCTGTGGGTCTCAAATGAGTGTTTTAATGAATAAGCACAACAACCTCACAATTCTCGAGCTCAACATCAACAAGCTCGGTAGCAGCGGAAAACAAGAACGATGCGGTAAATGGATCAGTAAAGCAGCGGACATTGTGGTACTCATCGACACACGTGTCTTAGCTGATCACAATTTCTGGACACAAGTTAGATCTGAGGCTCAGGCGGTGATCGGTCCGGCGCAGAGAGCAGGAGGTGTGGCGGTCTTGGGCTTCCTGCCAGGGATGAGATTCACAGAGGTTATCACACATGCGTCTAGCCGGCTCCTGAGCCCGATGGTATCTTGGCGGGATTTGAAGTGCAGAATCGTGGTTGTTTACTTACCGGCACAAGCAGCGGCTAGGGGGGTTTTCTTTTGGGACACGCTATCTCCCTTCGTGCAGAGTCTGGATGCCTCTCCACCCACCTTTCTCATCGAGGACTTGAATAAAGTAGCAGACCCGGAGCTAGATAAATCCGCAAAACTTGGAACCCCGGCGGAGAACCAGAAGCTTTAGCAGATATGTTCGAGATGGGATCTGCAGGACGCCTTCCGAAGTCTTCACCCGACGCGCAAGGAATATACCTTTTTCTCTATATCTGCAAGGACGAGCACAAGAATTGACAGAGCGTTAGTTTCACACTCACTGCTCGGATGGGTTGCAGAGGCGAATCACAGAATGGTACCATACGGCCTGAGTGATCATTGGTTTGCGGTGAGGGTGGTGCTTAAGGTAGCGGCAACAGATGACCACGGCACAGGTTTATGGAGACTCCAAGTGGCTTGACCCGGGGGAGAAGGGGTCAGGAACACCATCTCGGCGGTGGTAACGACACATGAGAATGGTCCGGACCAAGGCCTGGAGAGGCTTGTGTCGAACCTGCGAACATGTATGCGGGCTCATGTAGCAGAGGAAAGGAAGAGGGTGAAGGCGACCATGGCACATCTGGAACAAAAAGTGGAAGACTTGCGGTGGAAAGGGATGGCGGATGCCACCTCGCAAATTCTGTATGAGGAGCTGATTAAAAACGAAGCGGCCCTTAAGCTTTACCAGGATAGCAACAAGGAGCGGCTGCAGGTCATGACGGGGTTACTGATGGAGCTAGGAGGTGTTACAGGCGGCCTCTGAGCACTTCAAGGAAGCGTACGCTGAGTCACAGTCAAACCATAGTGGGGGGCCGTGGCTGATAGATGTGAGAAAGAAGCTGCAGGAGAAGGACCAACTACAGCTGGACATGGAGTGGTCGGAGCACGAGGTGAAGGCAGCGCTCAAAGGCTTACCAGCGGGGAAAGCTCCGAGGCAGGATGGTTTACCAAAAGAATTCTTTGAGCATAACTGGGAGCTGCTCGGCTGGGCGGTGATGAGGGAGGTTAGGAGCTTTGAGTCGTCTGGGAAGCTCTCGGAAGCTTTCACGACCGCCGTTACCATTCTGCTGCATAAAAAGGGGGACAGAGATGACTTAGGCAATTACAGGCCGATCACCCTACTCAGTTTTTTCTACAAGCTACTGGCGAAAGTGTTGGCGAACAGAATCAAAGCTGTCTTACCGCGGGTGATCTCGGACAAGCAGTTCGGCTTTCTCCCGGGAAGGAGTCTTGCCGATGCAGTCTCGCTGGTGACAGATGTAATTGATGCGGCGGAGGAGGAGGACGAGGATTGGTTGCTGTTGCTGGTGGATTTTCAGAAAGCCTACAACTTCGTGTCAAGGGACTATCTTTTCGTGATGCTGGGCAACATGGGGTTTCCGGTGAAATTTGTGAGATGGGTGAAGGGCCTGCATGATGGCGCAGCCACCAGGATGTTGCTGAAGGGCTGGGTAGGAGACCGCGTGGCAATGGATAAGGGGGTGCGACAAGGGTGTCCGCTCGCCCCGTACCTCTTCCTCTGCGCGGTGGAGCCGCTCTGCCAAGAAATAGGATGGAGAAAGCTGGGCGTTCGGAAGCGGGGAGTGAAGGGGGAGTTAGCCTTTATTGGGTACGCCGACGATACCACTCTGGTCCTGAGAGGGAGAGAGCAAGTGATTTCAGCGGGCAAACTGCTCGACGAATTTGCAGAGATTTCGGGGCTGAAGGTGAATCGCAGGAAAACAACGCTGATGCCGCTGGGGAAAAACAGGAGAATAAGAACGAGGAATAAGAACGAGGAATGATTGCATTGAGCAGCATGAGGAGTATAAGTAGGAAACCCTAAAGTGTTGTACCCCATATGAACTACCCCACTAAAGCCTACCCAGACTACAGCATATAAGTTTCACACACCCCCATAGGCAAAGTGGGGGAGAACAAGAGGTCACAAGACCAGTCAAGAGAAGAAAAGCAAGCTTAGGGTGGATCACAACATCACCACACATTCTGAGCACCAGTTCAAGGCCACAAGGCCAGTTCACATGCAGGACTATAAAGCAAGGTGAACAAGCAAGACAGTGATCTCAACCTAGCAAGGGTAAGCATGCAGGTGCAGGTATATATAGATCACAGTACAAACAAAGTCAAGAGGTAAGCAAGTGAGGCCTGGTAGGCACAAGACCTAGCATAGTACAGAAACGCTGATGATCACAAGGCTGAATTGCCTTGGTAAAGATATCACCAGTGTTGGCCCGAGAGGCCACGTAAGCAAGACGAAGCTGACCACACTGCTGCAACTCTCGAGCAAGGAAGTAGCGCAGATCAATGTGCTTCGTTCTGTGCTCCAGTTTGTGCTCCTTACACAAGGCCAGCATGGCCTTGTTGTCGATGTACAGAATTGGAGGAGAACGAGGCGCCTCTCCCAAGTCGGTCAGCAGGTAGGTGAGCCAGCGTAGCTCCTGTGCAGCCATGGCCCCAGCGTAGATCTCAGCCTCACAATTGGAGCCGAGAACAGAAGACGAGCGGGTAGACCGCCAGGAAACAGAGCCCAAACCAAGGCTTAAGGTGTAATCCTGTGACGACAGCTGCTTAGCCAAGTCGTCGACCCAAGAAGCGTCTGCGTGACCAGTGAGGACAAATCGAGCCCGTCCTCCAAGCACGAGCCCCATGCCCGACGTACTGCACAGGTAGCGCAACACCCTCTTAGCTGCAGCCATGTGCTCTGGTCGGTGTCTCCTAGGAGCAACTAGCGTGCCAAGATGCTAAGAAGGTATGCCAGGTCAGGTCGAGTGCAGGTCATCAGGTACATGAGGCAGCCAACAAGCTCTGGGTACGGGCCACTCGGCTCTACGGACTCATCCGAAGGCAGAGCTGAGAGCGAGTGGCGAGTAGACAGAGGAGTGGCCTGAGGCGAGGAGTACGTGAAGTAGGTGTCGGTGCGCAGAAACAGCGACGGGTCGGCTGTAGAAGGAGCAAACCCAAGAGCCGCAAGTGTAGTCCTCAGTGTGTCGTGCCACTCACGGGGCGCCTGGCGGAGACCGTAGACTGGCCGCCGGAGGCTCCACTGGGTACCAAGAGGAAAGGACCCAGTGAAGCCAGGTGGGCGGCGCAGCCTGATCTCCTCGTGCAGGCTGCCCTGTAGGAAAGCAGTGCTGAAGTCAAGAGAGTGAAGCTCGTAGTCACGCTGAGCGGCTATGTGCAGCAGAACCCGAAGAGTGGTCATCTTTAGGGTCGGGGAGAAGGTCTGGAAGAAGTCAACTCCCTGTCGCTGACTGTAGCCTCGAGCAACGTAACGCGCCTTAAAGACTGGCGGAGAACCCGGCGGCCGCTTCACTCTGAAAATCCACATGCCACTGACGATGTTCGCCCCAGGAGGGGGAACCTCATCGACGTAGGTGCCTGTGGACTTCCAGGAAGCCATCTCTGCGTCCATGGCTGACTGCCACTGAGAGGAGTAGGGACCCTCTATCGCCTCTGCGTAAGAGCGCGGGGTCGGGATGTCTGGTGCATTCGCGTCTCCCTCAGTTGCAATCAGCATGGACACGAGATGACGTACAGCAGCTGCAAAGCACTCAGAGTCCTCCTGCCTGTCCTCAAGGACGTCCGTGCCAAGAGCACTCTCACCCCCGTCGGACGGAGGACAGACAGACTTAGACTCAGCAACAAGACGCACGGCGTAGTCTAGACGACAGTGAGCAGCAATGTCAACAAGCTCAGCAACTAAGGCAGACGCAGCATTGGACTCAGAAGAAGGGTCAGTGACAATAGTGGCCAGGAGACGTGTGATAATAGGACTAGCAGCACGAAGGGAGTCAGACTCTAGGTCAGCAAGGGCAGGAAGAGAGGACGCAGGAGGAGACGGCAGAGGGACACGCTGCGAAGCAGAGGAAGGACGGAGGGCCATGAGGTGTTTGCCAGGGACAGCCAGAGGACGCTGACGCGAACCACAATGACTAGTGCTAGCAGCACGAACAGGCAACGCAAGACGAGACGCAGGCTCACGACGCTCAGCAAGACCTCCGGTCGGACCAGTGTAAGGAGAAGGTGCAGGCACTGGGGAGGCGGGCGGTAACTGTGACTGCGACTGGTCAGGCGGTGGACACTCTAAGGAAGGAGCGGGTCCAGTAGAAGGCGGGAGACCAAGAACCTGCTGAAGGAGCGGAACGTAGTACGTCCGCGGCCGCGCAGCGCCTCCAGAACCAGCAGGGACAGCACCAGCACCCCCAGCGGGAGCTCCAACTCCAGCAGCACCACCAGCTCCAGCAGCACCACCAGCTCCAGCAGCACCTCCTGCCGCTCCAGTAGCACCAACTCGAGCACCCACAGGAGCACCGGCTCCACCAGCACCTCTAGCTCCAGCACCCCCAGCAGCTCCAGCTCCACGAGGACCACCAGAAGCCCCAGCAGCGCCAGCAACTCCAACCACGGTACCTCCAGCAGCACCTGCTCCAGCAGTACCGCCAGCTCCAGCACCTCTTGCAGCTCTAGCCCCAGCAGCACCACCAAGCCCAGCAGCTCTAGTACCTCCAGTACGAGCACCTCCCGGACTAGTGGCTCCAGAACCCCCAGCAGCTCCAGCAGTAGTAGGACCTCCAGCGCACGTAGCACCACCAGCTCCAGCAGCATGGCTCCAGCGGCGAGCAAACCACTCGCGCAGCTGCTGTGGAGAGAGTGGCTCCCGCCGAGACGAAGCACCCAAAGGACCTCCAGGCGCAGCACCTCCAGACTCCACACGCGCAGGCTCAGCACCCTCAGGCTCCGCACCCCTAGACTCAGCACCCCCAGGCTCCGCAAGCTCAGGCTCAGCACCCCCAGACTCGGCACCCGCAGGCTCAGCACCCCTAGCAGCACCAGAGTCAACAGCTACCTCGACAGGCGTGACTGCGTCTACCTGGGACACACCTGAGGGGGCAAGACCTTGAGGGGGGAGGGGGTCTACCGGGGGAGGATCTGGCGCGAAGAAGAGCGGCGGGGGGGGGAGGGGGGCAGTGCGGTAGGGGAAGAGACGGTAGTAAGAACCCACCGAGTTGTTTCTTCTAGGTGCTCAAGATTGAGCGAGCTAGAAGTTTCGTGAAGGTGCAGGCTGACTTCGGAGGACTTTCACTTCAGTGCCACATGGCAACACAAGAAGAATAGAGACTACATGAGAATTCGATTCGGTGAAATTCGAGTGTCGAATTTCACCCCTTCGAAATGTCACTCGAACATTCGCGAGTGTAGAGGTTCGAGGTTACTTGTGCGACTCGATCTTGTTTGCATGCTATAAATCTGTTTTCTTTCTATTGCATGCTATCATAGTGAAAAACCAGAGTTCTTTGTACGTGGTACATTCGAACCGGAAATTCCAGAGAGTTCCTATTCCAAGATCACTACCTAGCACATAAACGCATATATCTCGCTCGATACTTAGGCGATCGAGGTGATCTACGGCTCGTTGGAAAGCTAGCAGAGTGCTCTATCGTTTGATCCCAGTACCTACAAATTAGAGGAGAGACCTCTACAACAGTGGTATCAGAGCTGGTCGGAGGAGTCTACGCGCGCGACAAGGAGCAAGGATGATGACGTCAAGCGAGGCCTCTCGCACTTCCTTGGATGGTGTCATTGTAAATTCCGGCGAACCCTGGGCAACCTTGATGATATTCGACACGTCGGTGATACCGATTTTTACGGGACAAAACTACTCCGCGTGGAAGTTTAAGTTCCAAGTGCTCATGATGGAGTGGGGACTCTGGGGCTTCTTCGATGGAACGGAGAAGAAGCCGTAAGACGATAGCGGCATCGCGGCATGGAAGAAGAAGGACCAAAAGGCGTTCACTACGTTGATTTCACGCATGGACATCAATCTCGTGAGCTCGGTGCGTATGTGCATCAAGCTCGAAGCGTCGGCGCATGAAGCATGGAAGCGGCTCGAGACGATCCACGTGAACAAGAATCTATACGGCAAGATCCTAGCCTGCAATGCGTTATACACGGTGAAGATGCGCGCGGGTGAATTGATGCACGAGTATGCGACTTGTGTGGAGGAACTCGGGGAAACGTTCATGGACCTCTGTGGAACGGTCACCGAGGAGGATTGGATTTTGACATTGCTATGCGGCCTTTCGGAAGAGAGGTCGACGGTGATTTCGACACTCAATAGCGTGCAAGACACTTGGACGAAGGAAATGGTGGACGGTTGGCTCCTTCATGAAGAATTGCGTCGCCGACAGTTCGCTAATGAGACCGTGGGGACCGTCATGTACTCCAGAGGGAGTTCCGGAAAGAGTCCAAGTGGAGCAAGGGTGCGACGAATGAATCGTCGGGTGGGAGCTAGCATCGCGGCAAGTGTCACTAACAGGGCAAGTGTCGCCGGGACACTTTTGGCGTGAATGTCGGAAGCTTCCGAGCGATTGGACTCCATCGAAGGCGCGGGACGAACAGGGCAACGCGCACACGGCATCCGGCGAGGCCGGTGATTCAAAGGAGTCGCTCGTGTTATTGGCCAGCAACGGGAACAAACATCCAAGCGACGTGTGGTTCCTCGATACAGGCGCAACGCAACACATGACGCACTCGGCGTCGCTTCTCAACGACATTGGCGCTCTAGGAGACGTCACGAGCATCGTGTTCGGAAACAGCAAATCGCTACCGGTGGTTGGAGTTGGGAGCACGCGCCTCATCGTCGATAGAGGACCGGTGGACGTCACGAACGTGCTTCACGTCCCGGGGTTGAAGGTGAACCTTCTATTCGTTCCGCAACTCGCGAAGAAGGGTGTGATTGCCACCATTGACGGTGCGAAGATGAACCTCTTTTGGAAAGGGGAGC